CATGGACACCTCAGGGTAGGGTCCAATGACTGCACCCCAGTCTCTTAGGTTACCCTACAGCCACCTTGGAATGCAGCCAGGCTGGAAAGACTTTGGTCTTTTCCATGGTCACTATCACCATGCCCACCACAACCTGTTAGCTTGGTCCACCCTTGGAGCCTGGCCATACCCACTCTGAGGTCCCCAAGTACTTTCTACATCCTGGGAGATGAGAGGGCTGAGCATCACCCACTGTGCAGGTGAAGAAGCCTGGAGGAGAGGAGGTGGCAGTCAGGGGACTAACCCAGTGCTCGCACTTCCAGAGGGGGCTGAGTGGAGCACTCTCTGCTGTTGGGCCAACCCCTGGATGGTAGCCTGAGGAGACCACAGGCCAAGCCCTCTGAGCAAGCCAAGCCCAGCTACACCAGGGTCTGGGGATCCCAAGGAGGGCCCTTCGTAAGGGACAGAGCCTGGTGATTAGTGGGGCTGCAGAGACTACCCTCCCTCCCAGTGTGGTCTGGGAGAAGAAGCCAGGGGCCTCGAGGGCATCAGGACCGACCCCTGCGCAGCCTCCTGGCTGCTGACCGCATCTATATTTATCCCCATAATGGCCCTGCTGCCTGTCGGGAGTGCGCTGTCTTCGGAGCACAGCAGCCGGTGCCTTAACTAATGTGCTGAAGTGATTTGTGTTGAGAGCCCCCTACCTTGACTGGTGCGCCAGCCTCCTCTCTGGGGCCAGCATGCCGCCTGGCAGGAGCCAGTGCAGCCATAGGCTTGCAGGGAGGGCCCCTGGGAGCACGAGCAGCCCTGTGCCGAGAGAACCAGGGCGAAGACATGTGGGGCGGTGGCCGGCTTGTGCCTGGAAGATCAACTTTAAAGTCTTTCTGCTCAGGTACCAAGAACTTGTGACCCCAAAAACCCAGAGCCCTCAAATTCTGGAATTCCATGAATCTAGTCACAGGCTTCTAGAATCCCAAGATGCTTCTGTTCCTTTTCCCTTCATCTTGTCACCTTCCTCCCTTCCAGGAACATATATCACACTCCCAACCTGTGCCTCTGTGCTGGCAACATCAGAAATGAGAGTAGGTGCTGGTCCCGTCTTTAAGCTCAAGTGAGGATGACATTTCCTAAAAGCTGGTGGGCACAGAGTGGTCACCTAAAAGTCAGTTCCCATCAAGGCCTGGGCACTCAGGAGGGACTCTGCAGAGAGTCTCTGCACTGATGTGTTGTTAACATTATTACCAGCATTTAACATCCAAAACAGTAGCAGTCACCTCCTGGTCCAGCTCAGTGGCTGTTCACAAACTGTCGACATCAGTGTCTGCAGCACACAGACCTTCAAGGAAGGGACATGTGACCATCACAAAGCCCCCTGATGCCCCATTCCCAGCACTAGCACCTGCCCAACAGCACTAGACCCCCAACAGCATAAATTTATTTGTCTGTGTTTAGCTTCATCGCAACGAAATCACACAGAACAGCGACCTCCTGCCTTTGGGCCTCCACTGCCCAGCGTTTTCGAGACACATCCTATTGGTGCCCTAGCCCTGCCTTCGTGCTCATGGCAGTGTAGTCCATCATGGGGGCTTCACCATTTATTATCCCTTCTCTTGAGGATAGACATGGGACGGTTCCACCTGGGGCTATCACAAGTTTATGAGTAGCACTGCTGTGAGTGTCCCAGATGTGGCTTTGGTTGAACATACGTGCATGTTTCCATTGTCGCTGGGTCCTCATGGGAGATGCATTTATTTAGCTTCTGTGGACACTGTCAACCAGTTCTCCAAAGTAGCTGTGCCAGTTTACACTCCCACTATCAACGTGTGAGAGTTCAGTTGTTCCCCATCCTTGCCAACTCTTAGTGTTGTCCATCATTTTTATTTTGGGCATGGGGGAGGGTTTGTGGGGGTGCATCGTGACAGTTACTGCATTTGGTTTTACTGAGCTGAGTTTAAAGAATGAAAGCAACACGAAGAAGAGGGAATAGCATTCCAGGCAGATGGAACAGCATGTGCAAAATTATGGAAGCATGAGAACGTATGACTGGAACTCTGTATGGTGGACAGCAGAGCTGGAGCCAGAGTGTGGAGGCTGTATCAGGGAGTAGGGTGTTGGCCTGAGAATGGCATGGAGCTCCTGAGAAGCTTTTATCTCATTTGGAGCCAGCACCTACTGTGTATCAGGCATTTTGTAGTTTCTGTTTGATGGACAAGAAAGCTACCGTGAGGGCCTCCTTGGTGGTGCAAGGGGTTAAGTCTCAGCACTATGAAGCAATCCATAGCCACTGCAGCAGCAGCATGAGTTTGATCCCTGTCTTGGGGACCTCTCCTGTCTTGCTTGATGCTCCCCTCAGCAGCGTATTTCAGTAGATCTGCCTGTTCTGCTCCCCACTCTGTCTCTGGTGAATCGTCTCACCCTCCACACCTCTGACCCACACCCCAGCTCTTGTATGCATAAATAAATAAATCTTCAAAAAAAAAAAAAAAAAGAAAGAAACTACCCCGAGACTGAGAAAGACTAAATGACAAGCCCAGAGTCACATTGGCAGAGCCTCTGGAAGGCAAATCCTTGCAAACCTCAGTTTGTGTATGTAAAGAATGGAGGCAGTGATAACACGTCACTCAAGTATATCGTGAAGTTCCAGAAGTTAAAGTCCACAATGCCCTGGGCACAGGGTCTGGGGCAGCCTTTATGATTGCTCTCATTTTATTGTTTCTCCATCAGCACGGCCACCCTACCTTCGCCCTTCTCTTCCAGTTGACAGGGCTGGGGGGTCTCTCCTAGTTCCTGTAATGAGAGGATTAACCCAGAACTCCAGCTCCAGCATCCTGTTTTCCTCCCCCATGGCGTGTCTCCCAGGAGCTCAAAGAGCCCAGAGAGAGAAGTTGTAGAAAGGGGACTGAACCCAGAATCTGGACTCCCTAGGGTGGCATGGGGGCAGGTGGAGCTGTGTTGGATGGTTGATTTTATGTGTTCACTTGGCTGACTCTGGTGACCTGTTTGATTAACACCAGTCTGATGTTGCTGTGTATGTATCTTTTAGATATGATTAGTCAATAGACTTTTATTAAAGCAGATTATCCTCCATTATGTGGGCGGCCCTCATCTAACCAATTGACGGCCTTACAAGCAAAGACTAAGGTTTCTCCAAGGAGAAACCCTTCAACTTCAAGAGAAGAAGCCTGTTTAGTTGCCAGCCAGCCAGGCTGCGCTCCCTGCAGGCTCAAGACTGAAGGGTGACGTGTCTTAAGAGTGATGGGGGGCTGAGGAGGGGACAGAGAACCCTGAGGGGCTGGAGCCTCTGTGTCTTATTTATTGCTGTAGCTCAGGGTGCTTGAGACATGTTTGCTGAATGAGCGGATGAATGAGTGGCAGTTCCCAAGCCCTGACTTCTCTTCGCCTCAGTTACTTCATCTGTAACATGGACTGCTCATTTTATAGCCCCACCTTCCGTCCCCTTCCTGGGGGATCTGTGGGGGTCCATCTGGACCAGGAGGCAGAACCGTCTGTGATCAAGCTCTGGCTGCCCGTTCCCCCTCTCCAGCCTGAAACCTCAAATTACCTGTGGGGAGGGTGCCTGCCAGGGAGCATTTCCATCTTGCCCAGATGCGCATGGCAGGCCCATCCCTCCTCTAATGACACCTTGCCCGCCTGCCCTCTTGCTGGAGTAGGAGGGGAGGGGGCCGGTGCAGTGCAAGCTGTGGTTACTTTTTCCGTTGCGTCAGGCCTCAGGGTCCTGCCCTCTGCCGGGCTGGCACAAGGGGCCCACTCTGACCCCCGGCTGTCCCAACTCCAGAATCATGTGCTCCCCATTTCGGGCATCTAGAAGCTTCCAGCCAGAGGGTGAGTTGGGGCTGGGGGGGCCTGACCCTACCCGGGAGAGAAGTGTCCCTTCCCCACCCACCATCACTCACTCTAGCCAGGGCCTTCCAGCTGGTCCAGGCAGGGTTGCAGTGGGCTTCGAGGAGCCATACCCTTGCGAGTGACCTGGCCCTCCTGGCCATACCCTCAGCCAGGCCGGAGCCAGAGAGCAGTGGGCGGGAGGCTGGTGCGGTAACCGAGGCAACTCCTGCTGGTGGCTTGGACGGGGGGGAGGGCAGGGAGTGGGGAGCAGTAGCCACAGTGTGTTCACATGGGTGCCAGCCTTTGCCTTTGCTAGTCTGGCAGATGCGTGTGCGTGTGCACGTGACCATGCACATGTGTACGTGCATGAGGAAGTGTAGGGGCCTGCGTGTGTGTACCTGGCACCTCTCAGTGAACACAGCTGTGTCTGACTTGGCAGGGGGTGGGATTTGACTCAGGTGACATCCAGCGTGTCATGAAGGGAGGCAGTGAGGTGGGTGAGCTGGAAGCCACGCCATCAGTAAGGGTAAGAGATGCAGGGGTGTGGACAGGGTGACCCCAGAGGACCTGGTGACCTCAGAGGACCTGGGACCCGTCCTTGGTACTTGTTACAATCACACTAGAGTCCCTGGCTCTCCCAGTCTGGGCCCTCTTAGTCTCAGGCTCCCTTTGGTCTGAGATCCCTTTGGTCTAGATCCCACGTGCCAACATGCCCAGCAGTCACCCCTGGCAAGAAGGCCCTGGGAGTCTAGAGACCCCGCTCACACCTTACTTCTTCCATTTCCCAGCCTTGTGACCTCAGGCAGGTGACTTCAGCGCTCTAGGCCTCAGTTTCCTCACCTGTAAATTGGGGATGACTACCCTAACTCCGGGGGGTGTAAACATTAACAGGTGTTCTCTCAGCCACAGGACAAGGTGTCCATTTTGGACATATCTACCCTCACCCTCCTGGCTGGGTCGAGGGTGTGCTCACCCATCCCCACTTGGCCTGGCCACCCAGCCACACACAGTGAGAGTGAATGCAGCTCCTCGAAGGGAAACTAATTCTTACAGACAGGAATAATCCTGCAGGCAAATTGCAGTGCTGTCCTGCCGCTCTGGGAGGGTGTGATTAAAATGAGATTCTAGGGGCAGCCGCTGGGAGGGAGGGGGCTGAGGACTGGCTTGGTCACTGTCCAGATGATCTCCCTGCCAGGCATGCTGGGGGGGACATTATGTCCAGAAGGGAGGGAGGACCAGCCCCACACTCCTCCTGCAGACCCAGGCCTCTGGCCTCCCAGTGAAAAGTTGATGCTCAGGATGCGTGCTGTGGCCGGGGTCGGAGGGCGGGGGAGCAGGCCCAGCATGCCCACTGTCCCTGGGCCCTTCCTGCGTGGATGAGAGCAGCCTCCTCCATGGCCTCCCTGCTGCCTCTCTTTAGCCTGACAACCCCTTCTCCCCATGGGGGCTGGAGTAAGCTTTTAAAACATAAATCAGATTATGCCACCTATCTACTTAAAACCCTCCAAGACTTCCATCACTCTTAGAATTAAAAAAAAAAACAAACCTCTGTCAGAAACTCCAGTGCCCAGGGGACCTGGCTGCCCTCCCCACATTCTCAGCCAGGCAGGACCTTGGGGTCTCTGAGTTCTGAACTTGGACAATCTCCTACTGCAGATCCCCAGCCCTGGCACGGTTCTCGGGACCCAGAGCTCCCCTTTGCCCCTGGAGATGAGTTTCTTCACACTTGCTCCAAATAAATGCCTTGAGTAGGAGGAAAAACACAACTGCTGGGAGTAAGCAAATGCCAGTAATTAGCCTTGACAGTGTATGGCCCGGTGCTTGGAATCTTGAGCAGTCGTGTACAAGTGGAGTGGCAAATTCTACATTGAGGATGAGGACCAACTCAGGCAGGATCTGAGCAGTGTGGGGGTTGTCTGATCATTGATTTATACACTCATCCTTTTTTTTTTTTTAATTCAACAAATATGTATTGAGTGTCTCCTGTGTACCAGTCACAGTGCTGAGGATGGGGATGCAGGATGAACAAGATAGACAGTAAATAAAATCAAGTTTTGGTAACGTCACCAGAAGTGAGCCTCCTAGCAGCCAAAGCAATGAAGAAAACCGGAGCAATGACCAGCTCCATCCTACCTACAAGATGCCTAATTGCTCAGGAGAAGGCAAGGTTTTCCTGGCAAAGCAGAAGTCTGGGATGCCCGTGCCCACTGTGACTTGTTGCTGGTATGACAGGGGCAGCATGAGTGCATCTCACAGGTAAAGATACACAAACGCTGAGAATAATGTCAAAGACAAACTAAACACATCAAACTAAACACAACTGCCAGACACTTGTTTTTCCTGCATTTCCTGTGTTTGCCTGGCCCAAGTCTTTTGCCCAGGTTATTCTCCCCTCCCCCTACAAAAATACAATTTTCCTTCCATCTCTCTACCTACCTCCTATCTTGAAGTGGTAACACCTCCCTGGGGTGGAACAGCATGTATCTGTCCATTCTCTGACCCCTCTCTTGTCCCCCTAGACTGCCAGGAGTTGCTGCCACCGCTGCCGACCCCCATGGCCTACATACCGGGTGGGGGCGCCCCAGCAGCAGGGGCCACCCCCATGGGCTCCCAGTATTGCGTGTGCAAGGTGGAACTGTCTGTGAGTGGTCAGAACCTACTGGACCGGGACGTCACCTCCAAATCTGATCCCTTCTGTGTCCTCTTTACAGAGAATGATGGCAGGTGGATCGAGGTGAGGCCCCCCAATGTGCAATGGGTGGGGTGGCTAGGTTGTGGGGGAGGGGCCCTCACTGGATCCCTGGGCTTCCAGGTCAGGTCCTTGGAGGTAGCTGGAGTGTAGGCCCAGCATTACTTAGAAAATTGCTGCTCTTAAAATTAAATTGTATTTAAAATATTGCTTAATGTCATATTTCTGTTTATTATTATAACTATAGTAGTTTTCTATTTGAAATATAGATGTATATTTATTTTGTGCCAGAATATTGTATTTTATTTTTTATTATATTTAAACGACAGTATTTCAGATTATAATATACAACATATATAGATATGGATATAGATATATATAGCTAAAACCTTAGAGTTTTACAAAATGCTTGCTTTCACCTTTTAAGTAAATTCCCCCACTTATTCCTAAAAGAACATGATCAGTGAGGAGCAGACAGAGAAATGGAGCACCCAGGCTTTGGGCACTGAGTCCCCGCTCTGTCACTCCCTGCTGTGTGACCTTGGGCAAGTGGCTGTCCCTCTCTGAGCCTGTCTCCTCATCTGTGAAATGAGGGTTTTTTACTTCCTGCCTATCTCAAGAGCCCCAGAGCTGTTAATGCTGGTGGTGCCACTGCCAAGAACTTTTGAACTGGAAGACTCTGCTCAGAGGACTCAAAAGAGAGGCAGCTTGAAGAGGAGTATTGAGCAATCCAAATCATTCAGACTTTCGGCTTTCAAAAATCGCCATGTTTCCCACTCCAAAAGGAGCCTATATTCTTGTCATATATTTAGAAAATCTAGATAGACCTAAAAAAGAAAATCAAAATGGTTGGGAACCTGCCTGTCGGGAAGAATCGCTGCTAACAGTTTGGTATCCAGTCTTCCAGATAGTTTGACACGCATGTACATCTTCCGAAATATGTGACTATTTTTCAGGTATTTAGCTGGGCCACAGTGGGCCTCCCACTGGCCAGTCTGTGGTTTACAGTGTCCACAGATCTTGGCTCCTCCTGCTGAGGAAGCCGTGCTGAGATTACCGACCCGTTTCACAGAAGGCAGGCGTTGGTCAGGCACCCAGTGTCCGGGTGCAGCCAGTAGGAGGTGGGCAGTGGGTCAGCCCCGGACTCCTGTCGGGAGTCCCAGGCCAGAGGCCGGCATGTCTGGAACCCACCAGTCCCCCCTTCTAGGTCTCCCTAGGGAGACCTCAAGGAAGGACATCCTGCCCCGCTGCCTCCCGCCCTCTCAGGGCACTCCCCCAGAATCCCCCTACCTCTTTCCCACCCAGGCCAGCCACCCTGGCTAAAAATATTCCCAGGCCAAGACCTCTTCCTCCCTTGCTGCTCCAGCCCTTGGAAATAAACTGGGTGGGAGGAAAAGTCAACAGAGCCCAGGCCCCAAAATAGACTGTCACCCAGACTCTGCGGTTGGGGCCTCAGAGTCAAGAGGCCAGGAGGCAGGCTCTGTCCCAGCCCCACCTCCGACCCACAGCACAAGCCCCGTCCTTCCCCAGGCCTGGAGTCCACAGTAGGTGGGGGGCTTGGCGGCACGGTTCCCGGCGTTGACACTGCAGGTCTCCATCAAGGTACAAGCACCTGCCCCCCAGGAGGGTGGGGAGCCCTGACCCCACCTCCCCCTAAATACCCCTCATTCTTTGTTTCTTCTTTCATCCTCCACGTAAAATGCAGTTTGAAAAAAGGCTTCTCCCAAAATAAAAAGGATAAAACCGTAAGCAGTCAAATTCCGTCTTTTTACGAAAGTGGAAACTGAACCCCAGTTGGAAAAAGGGACTTGACTTGTGTCACTTATATAGGCAGGAACAGGGCCTACACTCTTGCCCTGGCACTTGGATATAGCGCCAGGGCCAAAGGTTAAGAGTGTAGGTGCTAGAGTCAAGTCTGGGTCGGACTCTGAATTTCGGCCCTGCCACACCTGCTGTTCATCCCTGGGTCCGTCACTCAACCTCTCTGCTTCAGGGTCCTGATCTGTGAGCTGGAATAATGATTGCTCCAGCCGCCCAGGTAACTGGCCACGAGTGCCTAGGACAGAGAGGTGTTCATGGAGTCAGCAGCAGCCTGGGAAGAATAGAACCAGCCCCTGACTACCTCCCTTTTCCCTGACCCTGCCAGTACGACAGGACAGAAACTGCAGTCAACAACCTCAACCCCGCATTCTCCAAGAAGTTCATCCTCGACTATCACTTTGAGGAGGTGCAGAAGCTTAAGTTCGCCCTGTTCGACCAGGACAAGTCCAGCACGCAGCTGGAAGAGCATGATTTCCTGGGCCAGTTCTCCTGCAGCCTGGGCACGGTGAGTGGGGCCCCTCCAGGTGGGCAGTGGTAAGGTGGTCCCCCAGATGTTCCCCCAGCTCCCCAGGACTGGGCAGCCCCTTGGAGAGTCTGTCCTGTCGCCTGCTTTCCCTGATCCTGTTTTCCTGACTGACTCCCGAGGTGGCATCACAAACGTAGATTGCCTTGGGACCCAGCGGGCACAAAAAGGAAAAGCAGCCTGGTGGATTTGAGGTCAGGCTGAAGAAATCCCATCAGAAGACGTAGTGCCAGCCTCTGCTGCCACACAGGAATGGGGGCCCATGTGACCAGAGCTCCTGGTTATTAGAAGTAATAGGCTATGGTCTTGACTTCCTGGAGTAGGAGTCTCCAACCAGCAACCAAGACACCTGTCGTAGCCTCCCTTGTGGCCGGCACTGTGTGATCTTGAGCAACTTCCTTCCTCTGGGGCACACTTCCCACCAGCTCTGTTCTTATGGAGGTTGGGAGGGGCCAGGCTGGGAACCCCTATCACAAGTTCCAATCATCTTTTATGGCTTTGTACCCTTGTACAAAGTCTACCCCTTTCTGGGCCTCAGTTTCCCCATGTTTCACTTGGAGATAAGAATGACTGTTTTACTCAGCCTGAAGGTATGGTGAGGGAGTGTGACAGACAATGCTCTGAGGGGTCCTGGCAGAGGCTGAAAAGCCCTGGACTGTCCTGGAGAGGAAATTCAGTGACCAAAGCAAGGGACCAACAGGGCCGGCACCCTCCAGGGTAACTGAGGACAGGGCTCAAGGATGAGTGGGCCGGGAACCTACCGGACCTGCCACCAGCCAAGCCCAACCACCCCCAGCCTGGAGGCAGGGGCAGGGCAGGGCAGGAAGTGATGTGTTATGGGCCTGGGGAGGGCTGTGGTCGAGGCAGAACTGACCTAAGACCAATGACTAGCAACAAAGCCTCTGCCAAGCCACAGCCCCGCCCTTTTTTTTTTTTTTTAAGATTTGTTTATTTATACATACACCAGCTGAGGTGTAGGTCAGAGGTGCAGGAGGGTGAGAGGATTCATCAGAGACACAGTGGGGAGCAGAACAGGCAGATCTCTGAAATACGCTGTTGAGGGGAGCGCGGGCGAGACAGGAGAGGTCTGCTGCGCCATGTTGGTCACCTCCCTGGCCAGGAATCGAACTCATGCTGCTGCTGCAGTTGCTACGGATTGCTTCATAGTGTTGAGACTTAACCCCTGGCACCACCAGGGAGGCCCTTTTCCTGATCTCCTGGCTTCCACTATCACCCCCTAGGCTGAACCCTGCACACCAGAGGACAGAATGGGTGGATCTGGGGACACAGACAAGCACAGGGAATAAGAATTGGCTCCTATGGGCACACTGGGGTTTTCTCCAAGAAACTGTGAACCTGGTGACCCAGGAAGGGTGTGGGGAGGGTGTAGCAATGCCAGCCAGACGAAGGATGGCCCTCCATGTGCTCCCTCTTTCATTTCTATGCTGTGAGGAAGTGAGTATCTCCCCCATTCAGGCCATGAGAAATACATAGGAGTGTCAGGGTTTGACTCTCACCACCAGGGCTGCAGCCCCAGGAGGGAGAGGTCTGTGGATGCTTTCCGAGAGGCCATCAGGGGGCCCACCTTCCTATAGTTGTCCCCAGATGCAACAGTCCTTCCCTAGAGTCAGACTGCAGGCATTCCTTCAGCTGTGGAACCTCAGGCAAATGTCTTAACCTCTCTGTGCTCCTCAACAGCTCAGTAAGGTTAGTAATGGCTGCTGCCTGCCTCCCACAGCGACTCAGTGCAGGGCCCAGAGCTGTGAGTGTTGACTATGGAAGATTTTTCCTCCCTGCCACCTCCACTGAACACCCCTCTCCCCTCTCCCCACCAGATTGTCTCCAGCAAGAAGATCACTCGGCCTCTGCTGCTGATGAATGACAAGCCTGCTGGAAAGGGCTTGATTACGGTACCAGCCAGCTCCCTGCTCTCTGCACCCTCCTCTGGCTCTGCCCTCCCCCATCAATGGGCCGCTTCCCTGGCAGATAATCACCAGCTTTGTTTGGAGTAAAAAGGCCCAACTTACAACTTAGCAACAGGTCTCTTAGCAACGGGCTCCTGGCTCCACATATGATGCCTTGGGGGCTTCCAAGCCCGGGAGGGAGGAGGAGGGAGCTGCCAGAGGCTGCAGTGGAGCCTCCCCAGGCAGGAGTGCTCCTTGCTCCCACTCATCCCTGGAGGCACCCCCAGCACCCTCTCCCCACACTGGCCCCTGCCTGTCATCTCTTGAGGTGTTTCAGGAGCTCCTTGCCTATTGGAATTTTGCTTGTGGCTGCAGCGCAAGCAATTCCTGCCACGGGCAGTGAATATCGGGGTGCAAGGAGCTCCTTCCTGAGTCCACAGACTCCCAGAGACAGGGAAGTCCCACTGTATAGACGAGGCAATTGAAACCCAGAAGTGCCCTGGGTGATTTAGCTAGTGAGATTCTCCTCTGATTGTCCCCTGTCAGGCCTGTGTGATGCCCGGGGAACTGGAGCAAGGAGACTCATACCCTCCTTCATAGGATGTTCATATGATGTCCTGCTCCAGAGCCTCCCCTGGCTTCCCACTGCCTGTGGAGCCTGGCAGCCCCCTTCGTGGCCCGGGCTCCTGGTCAACTGAATTCTCAGCCAACCTCAGCCCTTATCCCCTGGAATATCCTGGAATGTCCCTCCAAGCCCCTCTTGCCTCTAGGAGTTCTGAATATCTGAGTGCCTTTATAGCTTAGCGCCCCCCACCTAGTGCCAACCCAGATGGACCCCTCCAGCACCGGCTGCCATTCCCTGGTGCCTCCCCGCTTCCACTCTAGGCCTCCAGCCCTCCTCTGTGAAGCGGGAGCAATGACAGGACCCACCCTACCGGTTGCTGAGCAGGTCTGAGCTGGAGGAGAGGAAGGGAGGATGGGCATCCAGTCTGGCCTCTGCCAGTCTGGCACTGCGGGTCAGCTAGCTTGTGCTAGGTGAGGCCCTCCCAGAGGTGGGGAGGGAGGGAAAGGAAACCAAGAGAGGGCCCAGCCCACTTCTGTTGCTGTGGGCTGAGAGCATTGCCCCTCACTCTGTGGGGCAGGAGAGCAAGAGAGGCCCCAAGAGGGCAGATGGCAGCCTCAAGGTCACCCACTGGGCTGGGGCCAGAGGCCCTGACTGATGGAGGACAGATGGCCAGTGGGAGCTCATGAGACAGCACAGGGAGCTCCAGTGGCTCCTCCCTCTGCCCTGGGCCTTAGCTTCCCTAGCTGCAAGGTGCAGTAGCTGAAGTGCCCAGCACCTTAGTTTCCAAGTGGCTGTACTCTGGAGCTTCAGGGTGGGCCTGGCAAGCTGCTCCCTAGCTCAAAGCCTCTTCCCAGGGCTCAAGACCACCCCCTATGCCTGGGACTGCTTCGTCTTCCCCCACTACCCTGTGACCCCCTCTCTAGAGCCACATAGGGTCACTTCCTGATTCCTCAGGGGGACAAGAGACTTGTCCAAGGTCACCTGGCATGACCTCTCCCCACCGTTCCCCCCGCCTAGCCCTGGCGAATTGACTCCTGGGGCCCCCTGTGGCCACCCTGCCTGGCACGCAACTGGGGGGAGTGTGAGGAGCAGGTCCTGACCCCACATCCCTCTGGCCTTCCAGATTGCCGCCCAGGAGCTGTCAGATAACCGCGTCATCACACTGAGCCTGGCAGGCAGGAAGCTGGACAAGAAGGTGAGGTGGCCAAGGTGGGGGTGCTCCACAGGAACAGAGCCCTCCTCAGCCCCAGGTCTGACCCTGGGCGTCTGAACTCCACCTTCATCACCTGTCCCCCTGCAGGGGAAAAGCCCATAATGCAGGGCACCCCAAGTAGGGCCTCTTTACCACTGAGGGATAGGTTTCTCATCACTTAGAGGTGTTCAAGACCTGACTGGAAACCTATTCGCTGACACTCCCCTGTCACTTAGTATAAATGTGAGTGCCCTCATAATAACTCTACGGGGGCCCCGCCTGATGTGTCCACAGCCCCCTGACTCCCTGATGTCTCCCCCTCCCACTCCCCTCATTCATTCTAATCCAGCTGAATCAGCTTCCTTGTTGTCTCTGGAGTACATCAGGGACCCTCCTGCCCCAGGACCTTTGCACTTGCTGTTCCTTCTTCCTGGGATGTTCTTTTTTCTGAATATTCTCTGACGGCCTGCTCGGCTCTGTCAAACTTCTGCTATGTCACTTCCTCAGCAAGGCCTTTCCCTGAAATTGCCCTGGTCCCTGATTTCCCACCCCTCCTGCTGTGCTTGCCTCCTTAACTCTAATTACCATCAGCACATATTATTTACCTATTTATTTATTGTATTTTCTGTCTTCACTTGAATAGTTTATTTAAAGTGAATTTTTTTTTAATTTAAATAAATGGCATTAAAAGGACATCCTATCCCATCTGTAACATTCTGAGATAGTTTTGGCTTCTCAGATTCCCTTAAAATTAAAATCTGCAAAATTCCCCTAAATTAAAATCACATCCCACTGGGTGTCTTCCTCTATGCTTGGAAGAATCGTCCTCTGGAAGTCCTGCCCTGTCTAAGATGCTAAGTTGTAACTCTCACGGGCTCCTCAGGGTCTTGAACACAAGGTCTGGTAACCCCAGGATGAGGTGCTTTCTCCTGGGGACCTAGTTGGTCCCGGGAGCCTTTACTGCTCTGGATCTCTTGCCAAGTCCTATAGCAGCTGAGGGGAGAGGGGGCAGCTGATTCTGTCCACAGCTCCTACCCCTGACACTGGGTTGGGGGAGACAGCGGGTTATACCCCCTTTCCACCTGAATCTGGTAGAACTGTGCCTTCCTGACCACCTCTTCCTGCTTCCTCTAGGACCTCTTTGGGAAGTCAGACCCGTTTCTGGAATTTTATAAGCCAGGACACGACGGCAAGTGGATGCTGGTCCACAGGACTGAGGTGGGTGCCTGGGGCTCCAGGGGTCTCCACGCCACCCAGCCTGTCGCTGTGTCCATGCAGTCTGCCGGACAACCCATAATGGCGCCTACGAGACTTGTTCCCTCCCTGCCACGGGACTCTCACTTCTGTCCCCAGACTTGTGGCTGTGGGTCTCTCCAGCCTGCCATTCTCCACCCTCACCCTGTCCCTCTTGGGCTAATCCAAGTCCAGCACTGCTGCCTGGGGCCTGAGCTCACCCTTCCCCCTCACCATCCTGCAGGTGATCAAGTACACGCTGGACCCTGTGTGGAAACCATTCACGGTGCCATTGGTGTCCCTGTGTGATGGGGACATGCAGAAGGCTATCCAGGTGAGGGGGCTCTGGGTGCCCTGCTCCCCACCCTGCCAGCTCCACCTGCCAGCTTGTGGCTTCCTGAGCATGCCTTGGCAAAGAAAGCTCCTTCTAATTAAGATGGAAAAGGAACTGGGGTGGGGTGGGGTGGGGTCCTGCCCCACAGGTCAGACTGACCTGCACAGGGCCCCCATCTCAGAGGCTGATGGCTGTTGGCTGAGCTAGTGAGTACAGAAACAGCTTGGAAATGACCAGGTGACGCCTCCATAATCCAGGGGATGATTTCTAGTCTCTAGCCCTCTATCTAGGTTTCTGGTTCTGGGTGTACTACTATCACTGTGACACTTTGGGCAAGTGCCTTCCTCTTGGGGGCCTTGGTGTACCTGTCAGTAGAATGGGTATAATTCCTGCCATCTTCCTAAGGGTGTCATGGCAGCTAAGTTAGAAAACATGGAAAACTGAGGTTTTGGCACTCATCTCAGGGAAAATACTGGCCTAGGGAAGGCTCCAGGCGGCCATGGCCCATGAGGCTCAAGAAAGATGAAGAGCCGAGTGATGGGGTGTGAAGAGGGAACAGCCTCCATTACACGGGTGGGCACTTTGCCCTTTCCCCAGCAATCCCGATAGGCTTCCTGTAGGAGACAGTGCAACAGCTGCCAATATCATCCCAGGCCAACTATGCACATGCTCAGGGCAGAGGAAGTACCACCCAAAAATGAAGATGTGGGGTTTGCTCAGGAAGCTGAGATGATCTGGAGAGTACCTGTTAGGGGACAACTCTGGGGTGACATCACTGGACCCACTCTAGGTCATGTGCTACGACTACGACAATGATGGAGGCCACGACTTCATCGGCGAGTTCCAGTCCTCTGTGTCACAGATGTGTGAGGCTCGTGATGGTGTCCCGGTAAGAAGTGTGGGTGTGTGTGACCCTCAGACCTTGTCGGGGTTGACCAAGGAACATGGGATTTCGAATCAGGCACACTAGGCCATAATACTTCTCTCTCCTTGTATGAACTTGAGCAAAACATTCACGCTCTCTGTGCTTCTGTTTGCCCATCTGTCAAATAGGGAATTAAAGTGCCTTGCACATAGTGAGCACACAGAAGCTGTCCATTTACTCCCCTGAGAAGCTGGGCAATGGGGGTAGCTATGGGTACATAAGTGTATGTGACATGGGTGAGTTGTCTGGGGATGGGGGTGTTGCAGGAACAGACTCTTGGGCAGGTACAGTTTGGTGGTAGAAACCATTTCTGGGTGTGGATTCCAGGAAGACTTGCTGGAAGAGGCATGCTGCTCCCCTCCCCACCCCACCCCCCTCAGTCAATGCTGTAGAGGGGATTCTGAGGGTCAGGGGAGGTTCACTTCCTGTGGAAGGCAGGATTGAGTTTCTCTTTCTCCTCCCATGTTGCCCAGCTGGAGTTTGAGTGCATCAACCCCAAGAAGCAGAAGAAGAAGAAGAATTACAAAAACTCGGGCATAATTATCCTGCGTTCCTGCAAGGTGAGCCAGCAGGGGTGGGCACAGGACAGGGGCCAGGTTTGGGGTCACACGGAGACGTCTCGCCACAGAAGGAACACAGAGCACTGGGTATGGAGCCAGCAAGGCCTGGGTTCAAATCCTGGTTCTGCCCCGTCCTGACTCCATGACTTTTTTGAGCTTCACCTGTCTGGCCTCAGTTTTCCTATCTGTAGACTGGGCATGTTGAAGTGGTAAAGCACCTGTGTGGAGGTCAAGGAGGGAACAAGGTGACCTTCAGAGCCTCTCCTAGTTGGAAGGAAATGGAGGGAGTTTCTGCTTTCCTGTGCTGGTGGCTTGTCCATTGCATGTTCAGCAGCCAGGGGGCAGAGGATGTCGGGAGAGGGCACCTTCTCCTCTAGCAGTGACATCAGCAACTGACCCCTGTGGTCTAGCTGGGCCCCCAAATTCCAGAAATGCAATGGCATTTGCACCATGATGGCCAGGCTGAGGTCAGAGCTCCGGATGTCTAGTAGCCAAGTAACTGCTGGAATCGGGCAGGATGTTAAGGAAGACAGCCTGGGCGGGACAGGGAGAGCCCCGGATGCGGGGGCTTCCAGGCAAGTCCTGGCTCTCCTTCTACCAGGTGAAGATCGCAGGCCCCACTTGTCCATGTCCTGGCCCAGAGACCAGGGTCTCCACACACTCAGTGAGGTCAGCAGGCAAAGGTACCTGCCAGAGTGCAGCATGACCTTCTGTGCTGGTTTCTGAAGTTTCCGTCACTTCCCTCCCCTCTTGTGAAGTTCGACACCAACTTTGCTTATTTATTACTGATAATTGTAATCAGGCCCTCCTCCTATCCCCACTTTCTCTCCTTTTTCTTTCATTCCTCTCTCCCCTCCCTGTCTTTCATTTTTTGCTTAAATACATTTATTTTGAAAGGAACCCTTATAACTCCACCGGTACTAGAAAGTCAATATTCTTTCCCAAAAGACTACAAAAAGCATCAAAATGAACAGTGTTGTAGCAGTTTTGCTAATCTATAGTGGAACGCCTTGAGCCAGAGACCTGGCCTCTGGCTTTGAATGTGGAGATTTGTAAGGGCTAAAGCGGGCTTAAGGACCAAAGAACAACAGTTTGAGATTGTCTCTTTTGTAATGGAGGGGGTCCCCCACACAGGCCTGGGCCCCTGCCTGGTGTCACCCTGGGCTGTGCGTGCCTGACGCCATGTGTCCCCACAATTAGGAACCTTTGCTCTGGATGCTTCATTAGGGAGACTTGGGTTTTGCTGTAATCAGAGACAGTCCATCTGCCTTTTTTAGCCTCCTTAACCCTACTGAGTTTTCAGGGCACAGAGCATTGGCCTGCAAAGATCCTGGTGGAGAGGCGGGCCAAGTGGAGGGTGCCAGTTGGGACCCACTGACTCCTCTGGTTCCTTCCAGATAAACCGGGACTACTCCTTCCTGGACTACATCCTGGGAGGCTGCCAGCTCATGTTCACCGTAAGTGCTCCCCCTACCCACCGACTTGGGCTCCCCTATAGCAGGAGGGACTTGGGATGGACTTTAGGAAGGACTTCCTCAGGGCTGTGCTGTGTTAGCTCAGAGGACAGGGCATCAGTGGGTGGGCCTGCATAGGGGCTGAGCCACAGATCAGGGCAAGAGTGCCCTTCCCCTGCATGTCACTAGCAAGACCCTTTCAGAAGGGAAAAAAAAAAAGCCCAATTCTTCCCCACTGGCCACATTGGACACCCCCTTCCTCCTTGCTCCCCTGGCTCCATACACCCTGGCCCTCATTATTCCCCCAGCACACCTCTCGGCTCTGCCTCAGGGCTTTCATTGGCTGTTCTCTCTGCCTAGAACACTCTTCCTTGGGGACTTTCTCACCTACCCTCCTTCAGGCCATGGCACAGCGGCCCCACCTCAGGGAGGCTCCCTGGACACATCCTGTTCCTCCTGTCACAGCTCTTATCTTATTATCTTCAGAGTACTTGTCACTGTCTGAAGTTATTTTTTTTTTTGCTCGTCCTTCCGCCTGTGAGTGCCCAACCATGACTTCATTTGCCTCCACTCCAGCCTCCGCATATCACTCAGTGCCTAGCATGTAGCAGGTGCTCATAAATACCCCTCAAATAATGACTGATCACTCTGCCTGTGGTCTGGAGTATGCACCCCATAGATTTTCCCAAGCATCTCATCTTCTGTTCCTCACCCCAAGAAAATCCTCAAGCTGGCGTGGGGAGAACCTGCTGGGGTCCCTTGCTCTGCCTACCAGCCTAACAGTGACTTGTTGCCACTTTCCGTACCACCTCTACACCCAAATCCTCTAGGTCATCTGCAGAACCCTATGGAGGCAGGAGATTGGCCTTATTGACCTCTGACCCCAACAGTCACCTCTGCCCCACTCCCCCACAGAGAGACTGCACCTCCTGTGTGTGTGTGTTCAGTTAGCAAACAGATATTGAGCCCCTTTGGTGTGCCAGATTCAGGCTGTGGCCCGGCAGGAGTCCCTTGAGGACTCAGACATGTCACTTGATCTCAGGGAGTTGATCCACCCCATGGTGACTGAGTTCTAAGGTGGCCATCTCTTCTCCCAGGTTCTTGTCTTAATCCTTCCTCACTGGCTAGTCTTGCTCACCCCGCTGTGCTGTCTGCTCCCACCTGAGCTGGAAGTCCCTTGGGGTTCAGAGAGCAAGTGGAGCCCAAATCCCTGCCCATCCATCAGCTCCAAACCTGTGGGGCACCCACCCAGTGCTATGTGTCCAGCCCTGAGCCTGGCTCCCCAGGGGCATGTATCTTGCCACCAGTGAACACCCCGTCTCTCTGGGGAGGTGGGTACTGCCCACCAGGCAGCCCTAGTTCCTGGGGCCCTTATGGTCTGAAGATGGTGTGGGATGGGGGCAAGATGTTGGAGAAAGCTTCAGTGGGGCAGCGGCATCTGAATTGGGTCTGAAAACTGGAGAATTCAGTGGAGTAGTAAAGGTGATTTTGTTTTCAGTTGAGGAAATGGCATGACTAAAGCCCAAGAAGTGGGAGCATGAGTGTGGAGGGGACACGAATTTGGATCTGTAGGTTGACCTTATATCACATCTGGGCAATAGGCTCTATACTTGGGCAATAAGGAGTCGTAGATGGCCTAAGAGCCAGAGGAATGATGCAGTTAGACAGTTTCTAGGTTTTGAAATGTCAAGTAGAAGGATGGGTTGGGACTGGGAGATGAGTGGGCTTTCCATGTCCCATCAGCCTCTCCCGTTGCCTGGGGTTGACATACGGAGCTGGGATCTCTGGCCACACTGCATGACCCTTTTTGCCACTCTGCAGGTTGGGATCGACTTCACGGCCTCCAATGGGAATCCCCTGGACCCTTCCTCTTTGCACTATATCAACCCCATGGGCACTAATGAATATCTGTCAGCCATTTGGGCTGTTGGACAGATCATTCAGGACTATGACAGGTAAGAGGTATTTGGGGAGAAACTCTGAGAGTCAGTTAGGGCTCCATCCAGCCTAGGAAAATAGAAGGAACCCAGGGATCATCAAATCTAGGGATAGCCAGCACTAGAGCATGTATGCAATTATTTCCCCTTCCTGTGCCTGTAGCAGACATTGCTAATCAATTGCTGAACTTCTACCTTCTCAGCCTGAAGCCACACTAAGATCTTCTCCATACATTATACCAAGTACCAAGTGGGGCCATGAGTCCACATAAAAGATAATACCTGTTGCTATTGCTACAATTCCCCCCCCCCCTTTAGAAATGGGGAAAGGAGTGACAGATCAAGAAACCTAGAACCTAGACATTTCGATTCCTTGGCTGGGCACCAACACACACATGCCCTTCTCTAATGACCATGCTTCCTGAAAATCTTTGAGTAAAGAGGACAGTGGAAAGTCAGTTAAGAAAAGCCATGTAGGGGTTGTGGCCACCAGTAAGATGGACCAAATGTAAAGTAAAGAGAGCCTTTGAGGATCCAGAAGTCACTTGAAGGTTGCAGTGTCATTGTCACAGATGGTATTTGTTGGAACCTACAGGTCAGAGGGTGGAATGACGAGGAGGCAACAGGATAGGAAGGAGAAGGTGCCAGAAATTTGATAGCAACAAGAACATGCTCAGGAATCCTGTATGTATTTGGCATCCTAGAGAGTGGCAACCTAAGGACCAGTATCTGACTCCAAGGAGGCTCAGGGCCTAAGGGATGACTGTGATCCAAGGCCATATTAACAGAGATATGGCACATAGAACAAGGGAGGTGGAAGTCCCCGCCTTCATGGTTGAGTAGAGGAGCATGCTGTTGTTGCTCCAGAAGCCCTCATAACCAGCTGCCTACTTAGCCCCTCACTGAGCCTTCTCCTGGTCATTCAGATTTAGCGAGGCTCCAGTGAGTGCTGGACACCTGCCCCAGTCCTGTCCTCACAGTCTCATTCTCATCTCTATGAGTGGCACTTCCATGCCCCCAAAACTTTCACTTCTTTCCCTCATCTCCCTTACTTTCTTCCAGCAAATCCTTTAAAAACATATAACTTAAATACAGCCTCTACTCCACAACCCCTGCTACCAGCCTGTCTGAGCCACCATCACCTCCTACCCATCATTCTGGTAACTTCCTCGCTAGTCTCTGTGCTTCTGCCCTGGCTTCCTTCATACAAACGTGGCGGCCAGAGGGATCCATAATAAATATATATAGAGTGAATAAACAAAAAGACATGATCCCTGTCTTCAGGGGGTTCCCACTCAAGAAAGTAGAGAAGAAATCACTGGCATTTCGAGAGACCAGTTTACATGAGTCAGAAGTGAGTCAGAAACCATGGTAATACCAAAGAGAGAACTTTCTGGGTCTCAGGGAAACCCATGAGAAAAGGGCGTTTGAATTAGGACTTAGAGGGTGCAACAGGACTGATGTTGGAACATGAAGAAGCCCTGTGTCTGGAGAACAGTGAGTGGCCAGGACTGGGGGAGTAGGGTGTGAGGGCGGGAGGGTGGAAGGAAGCCTGGATGATAAAGGGCCTAAATGCCAAAATATAGTTCTCACATTAGGAGAATTTTTCCCAGCCATAAAAGAGGTTGAGTGACAGCAGTACATTCTACTTCCATCCCCACTGCAGGTTAATGGCCCAATTTGAGAAGGATCTCAAATTGGTTAAAATTACTTTGGTTGATTAGCAATGTCTGCCAAAGGTATAGATGGGGTCAAGTCAGATACCCAGAGATGGGTTGAGATCTGGAGATCATCAAAACAAAACTTTTTCTAGAGGTCATGAGCTCTTCCTTTCCGTCCTTGGAGATGTGCAAGGAAGAATGGGCCCAGCCCTGGGGAGGGGCTTGGGAGGGTGAACGAGGGTGGTGGAGTCTGTGTCTACTTTTCTCATAGTGTTTTTTCTCCCCTCTCTAATTTAGTGATAAGATGTTTCCGGCTCTGGGGTTTGGGGCTCAGTTACCCCCGGACTGGAAGGTGAGTGAAGACGCTCCTTTAGCTGAGATCTTGTATACATGGTCTTGTGTACATGGCTTCTCTGGGGTCCACTTTGGAAAGGTCTAGCTAGGGGCCCAGCTGCCCTGCCTTCTCTCCATTTACCCCAAACCCACACTCATTTCTCAGCCCACATCTCAAGTAGGCACTGGGGTGGTAACAAGGGGCAGGACAGTACCCAAGTCAGTGGGAAGACAAGGTGCCAGATTTAGCAAATAAAAATATAGGACAACCAGTTAAGTCTGAATTTCAGATAAATTTGAAAGTGTAAGCATGCCCCTAATATTGCTTGGGACATACTTAACAACTAAAAAAATTACACCGTGTTTGTCTGAAATTCAAATTTAATGGTGTATCTTGTGTTCTCTCTGGCAACCTTCAACCTAAGCAGGGTCATCAGTGCTATGATGGCACAGCATGGGTCTGGGAGAGCCCATAGGAGGGCCTCACACTGGACTGGGGCATCTGGGAAGGCTTCCTGGAGGAGACAAGGTCTAATTCAAGAAGGGAAGGGAAAGTAGGAGGTTATAGAGTGACTGGGGGACCAATGGGGCAGGGGCAAGGAGAGTATTCAAGAGACAGAGTCTGGGAGGCTGAGGTGCAGGACCTGTTGAAGGAACAGAGGGCGGGCACGGGTGAGGAACTTCCTGTGGAAGATGGACAGAATGGAGAGATACGTGGGGGGCCAGTCCTGCAGAATCTCAAAAGCACATTAAGAACAGTGAGGGCACTGCAGGGTCCACCAAGGCTATTATATATAGCCCAGTGGCATTTTTGAAGGCCCCCTCTGGCTGCTGAGTGGAAACAGCTGGGGTGAGGGTGGGCCAGGTGGGGGAATGAGAGAAGGGAAGATGGTAGGGAAACTGACTGGGTGACCAATGGATGTGGACCAAGGAGGCCACCCAGCTTCCTGCCAGGCATTGAGGTAGGGGGTGCTGCTTACTGAGCTGGGGAACAGGAAGGGCTCAGGGTGGTAGGTGGGCTCGTCGGGGGAGATGGTGAAGATGCCCTAAGGAAAGGCAGAGGGTGAGTCAGGAACTCAGGGAAGAGGGATGGAGATGGAGCCTCCTGGTCCAGGACTGAGGGTGCAAATGCTGGGTAGGTGAGATCTCCAGGGAGGCAGGAAAGTGAGAATCAACGATATGTGAGCATTCTAGACGCGTTTCTGCCTGCTTTACCTGTTTTATTTCACCCTCACAAAAACCCAAGATGGTGGGCACTGTTGTTAACTCACTAGATAGTCAAGGAAGCTTAGTAATTAGGGACCAGTAATGACAGCATGGGTGCATGATCACACCTGAGGAATGGCGCGGTGAGGGCCTGAGAGCTGCCACAGTGGCCAGGGGGGAGGGGAGGCACTGAAGAGGCAGAGCAAGCGTGTGTGCGAGGAAGCATGTGTGCAAGGAAGCATGTGCAAGAAAGCAGGAGAGGCAGGTCTAGCAGGTCAAAGGATGCTGGGAAGGAACCAGGAGAGTGCAGCTGGGGTGAAGAGAAATGGGGGATGCTGGCCCCCCAGGAGCAAGATGAGAAGGGGCGTCAAAGCCAGGCACCCTGAGCTCTGGGGGCAGGTAATGAGGGTGAAGTTGGGGTGCTCAGGAGGCCAGGACCAGTTGTCCATTTTACAAATGGGGAAGCAACGACTTATCCATGGTCAAACTTAGAGCAGGGGCCTGGATTCCACCCAGGCAGATGAGCTCCAGAGTTTATTCTCAGAATTTGCTGCCTCTCTGATGAGAAGCTTCAGGGTGTAGCTCCTAATTTTGCCCATTGTCTCTGCCAGTGCCCGCTCTTGCCTGCCCTGCTGTGCCTCACGCTGTTTCTAGAGTGAGCCGTGCTCTTCCATCTTCTCCAGAGAGGATGATTTTCACCTACAATCTCAGAGAGTGGTTCTGGGGCCTCCCAGCCATCATGTGGTTCGGAGCAGGATCCTGAGGACCAAAGCTGGGTCCCTGGGCAGATAGAGTAAGGCCACTGGGGGCAGGGCTGGCTGGTGCAGCCAGGCCCAGCACGAGTTCGTTGCTAGGACACAGCCAGCTTTCAAAGAACTCTGGCTGAATGAAATGTTTTCTTGCGCAAAAGCCTCCTTGGAAATGTCACAGGGCAACTCTGGGGAGGCTGGGGCTTGACCAGGCTGGAGTGCCCGGCAGTGCCAGGAGGGATGCTGGAACCAGCCCTGGAAAGGGCAAGATGCTGTGTCCCACCTCCCCCTGCCCGGGAAGACTTCCAGACCTGGCCCCTTCTGGCCTCTCCCTTTCATTCCAGCTTGCCTTGGGAACCTTCTTTCATTGGTTCCACCTCAGGGCCTTTGCACATGGCCTGCCCCTGACCTGTTGCTCCCTTTCACTGACTCCTGTGCCACGTCTCAGCTGAGAGATCATTCCCTCTGGGAGCCTGTCCCTGCAGGGCTCACGTGAAGTCCCCACGGCAGTCTCCTCACAGAACTCTGGTCACTTCCGTCTGTGTTGGTTTGCTCATTTATCATCTCCCTCTGCACTCCGCACTCCGGGAGGGTGCTGGCCGCCTTCTCGCTGTGTCCTGGCCCCTGGAGCACACCACTGTGTAGTGCTTGTTTGTGGAGAGTGAACTGGAGGCCCCGCAGCCTGAGCAGACAGGGGAGCTGGTTCTCCGAGAGTGGGAAGTTGAAAGGAACTTCCAATTCCTCGCTGGGGCTGCTCCAAGTGAGTCCAGAAGGGACCCCTGCACCGGGCATTACCTGAGGGACTCAGGGCATGATGGCTTGGACCCTCCAAAGGAGCCAGAGTTAGTCAGATGAAAAGCAAGACCAGGCAGAAGGAAGGGCCTGTGCCCAGTCAGGGATGGGAGGAACTAGTTTATGAGTCTTCCCTTTACAGATGGGGAAACAGGCTCAGATAGGACAGTTTCCCTGAGGCCCCTTCAGCTCCCTCCCCACCTCTGCAGGGGCCACAGGGAGTGCATCAGAAGGACTCATTGACCATGGGCCTGGCCAGGTGGGGTGCTCAGGGCCACTGATTGTCAGAAGGCATCAGGGAACCCCAGGACAAAGACTTGTGGCCTGCCGTTCCCCAAGCATCCCTAATGGGCTTGGTGTGACCTCCAGGAAGCTTGTCCAGTTACTGCCATTTCTCAGGCAAATCAGGGCATGGAGGGGGAGGCTGGGCACCATGGGCAGCATGGACACTTGTCCTCTGGATCTGGTCCTGCTCTGTGGCTCCCCAAGTGACCTGGGCATTCCCTGGCTCTCTCTGAACCTCACTGTTTCCACCTGTGAAATGGAACTGCTAGAGTAGGAGACACACCCCCCACAACCACACCCTCTGACCAGCAGGCCAGACCTTCCCCCCAGAGAAAGAGGGGAAGACAGTGGGGATGAAGAGGTTGGATGGCCGAGAGGATGGAATGTTCGCCCATCCCCATCAGGAAGGGGCTTTTCTCCCTTGGTCTCTAAAATCTAACATCTGATTTTGCAGAAAGTCATTGGCCCAAGGGAGGCCTGTTTCCCTGGCAACCATTTTCCTCTCAGCCCCCTCTGTCCTAGCCCCCCTCTTAATCTCTCTGGAGGATCATGAAGTTTCCATGGCAACGAGGACCTCCGGCCCCCACACCTGGAGCCCAGACTGGGACTGGATGAAGAGGGCCCCTAGGCTGGGACAGGGCCCAAGAGGGACATCAGGCACTTAGGGCTGAGGGAGCAGGAGCAGAAATGCCCAGAGCAGGGAGGGGTCTTCTCCTCAGCGTGCCAGGCGCAGGTCAGTGCTGTGTGAACTCTGCCTGCTAAGCCCTCCTCCCTGAGCCCAGGAGGGCTCCCAAGGTCAAAAGTGAGGACCCTCTCCAGGCACAAGTCCTTTCTGGGGGAGCTGTGTTTGTAGAATGGGGATGTGGGACACGTAGAGCCTTCTAAAACCCACACTGACGCAGAGCCAAAGGGTCGGTCTGGGGTTTCTTGTCCCCAGGCTCAAGCTCTCCCCTGGTGGGTGTTCACCAAGCCTCATCACCTTCTGAGGTTAGTGAGTTCATGGAAGGTGAGCTCAGGAGGCAGCCTGACCTAGTTCTAGTCCCAGCTCTGCCTTTCAGAAAATGTGTGACCATAGGAACATTCTAGTCCATTCTGTGTCTGTTTCATCATCTGAAAAGTGGGCTAATAACAGAACTTTCCCCATCGGGTCATCGTGAGGAAGAACAAGAGGAGGCCTGCAGCACGCTGGGGAGTGGCACGGGGTGAAAGGGGATTTGGGCCACAGGCTGCAGGTGAGGGAAGGGAGGGAGGTACCCCTCCCTGGGCTCTGCAGCCCCCTAAGTGTCACCCACAGCCCTGACTTAGGTCTAGTTAATGGCCCCTGTGTGTCTCCAGGATTGCTGTGGGTCCAGCGGGACCCCAGGGTGTGTGGGGCCAACCCACTGAGGGGGGTGGTGGCTGCGCCTGGAAGCAGAGAAACAGGATTGGGGAACACACAGCCCTCTGTGTCCCCCTGCTGTCCAGCCTCATTATGCTTCCTGCTTCCCTAGTCCAGCTCTTCCCCAGTGTGACTCCCTTGCAGAAGGGGGGCGCCCTTGCAAGCACTCGTGCTCATTGTGAAGAGGGGAGAGCCTTCTGGGCCCGAAGATGTGGGACTCCACACCCTATCCAGTGGCAGCTGGTGACGAAAGGGTACCAAGTGCCCCTGAACCTCTCCCCTCGGAGGCATCTCTCTCCCACTCAGGGCCTTGCTTACTGGGGCATCACAGGCAGCCCTGCTGCCCCAGAAGAGGCAGCAGAAGAGGCTGGGGTGGTGTGGAAGGGCCTCACTTCTCCCCATTATGAAGTGAGGTGGGGGAACCTCTCTGCATGGAGGGGACCCACCAGTGGAGGGGAAGGCAGATGTGGGGGTAACAATAGCCTTGACCTGGGCCCGCTGGGGTGGGGGTGGCAGTAGAGATCAGGTGTCCTCTGAGGGGTAGGTCTGGGCCCAGGATCTGGGGCCAGGGAGCTGGCAGCTCAGCATTTTCTCTGCATTTTCAGGTCTCCCATGAGTTTGCCATCAACTTCAACCCCACCAACCCCTTCTGCTCAGGTGAGTGGAGAGCCTACCAATACCTGCCTTGCGTTTACCCACCTGGCCATCTCCTGGATGGAGAGAGGGGCAGAGTACAGATTTCTGTCCCTTTCTGCCATCTCCTCCCCTCATACTGGCTTAGAATGGCAACGGGAAAGAGCTGAAGTTTAGAGTCTGAAAGTTCTGGATTCAAGGCCAGCTGCCACCCTTTTCTGGCTGTGTGACCTTGGAGAGGTCACTGCACCTCTCTGGGCCTTTGCCTCTTCAACTGCCCCAGGGTGGTGTGAGCTGCTTAGCTCACTTCACTGGGGGGGCAGGTGAGAGCTGAGGGAAGTCGACAGGATGCCCGGTGTAGACGAGGAGGAGGCAAGATGGCAAATTACAGCCCTGCTCACCTCCCTCCTGCCCTCACTGAGAGACCCAGCCTTGGCACCCAAGGGGAGCAGAAGAGACAGTAAGTGAGTGTGGTGTCAGCTCACCCCCACTCCTGGGCCTGAGAGGGTTTCTCAAAGTCAGATGAAACCCCACTGGAGCAGGAGAAAGGCTCACATGGGCATGGAAGAGGGTGGTGCCCGCCACAGGAGATCTTTTTGCCAAGGATTTATCTTGCTGTAGCATCTGCTTCCCTGGGGATGCCTAGAACTGAGCTTGTACTTGAAGGCAAATATATCAACTCACCAAGTAGGGGACAGTGCTAGGACTTGGAAGCTGTGGCATCTGCCGGCTAGAAATGTGGCCAGGGGCTGGGGGCTGGGGATCTCTGTGGAGTAGGTCTCCAGAGACGTTTTGTCCAAGTTCTCAGCTCAGTCAACCTCATTCCAGCCAGAGGCCTAGACAGGACCACAGGGCAGCGGGGTATTCTTAGGCTCACTGTGGTGGCTGTTTACAGAGCACCTACTGTGTGCAGGGATGTGCGAGCATCTCTGCCTCTCCCCCAGGCCTGTGCAGAAGCCACAGTGTGACCAGCATGGCCTTCCAGATGGCCTCCCACTGCCCCAAAGTGTCATTGCTGGCTTTGCTAAGCCCTTTCCCTGGGAAGAGGCTGTGGACCTCCAAGCGCAGATGATGATCATCCCCTGGCAGATAAGGAAACAGACTCAGAAGGGTTAAGCAGCTTGCCCAGCTCCCAAACCGGTGAGGGCAGCGTTCAAACTCAGGCCTGACTCCACACTCAGGGCTCTTGGCTTTATTCCACCCTGGCCCTGCCCTCTGGGGGCTTCTGGTCTCATGGGGCCACACTGGCCATGGCAGGGGAATTTGGGTGAGCAGGAAATAGCAGTGTGGTTAGCAGTTGGGATGAGGGTGGGCGCAGGGTCCAGGAAGCCCAGGCTGACCCAGAGTCTTCTCCCTGAGCAGGCGTGGATGGCATCGCCCAGGCGTACACAGCTTGCCTGCCACACATCCGCTTCTACGGCCCCACCAATTTCTCTCCCATCGTCAACCACGTGGCCCGCTTTGCAGCCCAGGCCACGCAACAGCAGACGGCAACAGTGAGTAGGCGGCCCGGCATGGGCGGGTGGCGTAGACCTGGCACCGGGTGTGTGTCACGAGAGAGGGTCTGGCTGAGGTCTCACCTTCCTGCCCATCCCCACAGGCTGCATATTTCTGCCTTCCCTGCTCTAAAATCCTAGATGAGGCCCTGCTATCTCCTCCTCAGTTTACCTGCAAGTATGGTAAGGGAATTGGATTAAGCTTAGCTTAATGGGTCCTGGCTGCCTGGAGCACAGACTTGAGAAAGCTGCTGCGTTTCCCTTCATACTTCGTCGGAAACTGGGCCATGATGGGTGTCAGGTGCCTCCCCAAGACAGAGGTTCTGTTACTCCCAGGTCACAAGGGAACCAGGAGACAATGGCCCTGGCAGCCCTGAACTGGCCCTCTGGGCGGCCTAGCTTCAGTGACAGCAGCTGCACCTCCCACCGGAGGTGTCTGGCCCTGGCTCAGTGCTCAGTAACGAGGCTCCAGCCTGGCCTGATGCTGCTGTGTAGTGTCTGATCTATATGGCCATCCTAGGCATCTGAACCATGGTCTTCTTCCTGCCCCCCATCTCCAGGCCCAATGCCAGTGTTGAGGTCACCAAGAGGCCCCTCCCCACACCCCCCCATCCACTCTGCATCATGCAGTGGTCGTGTCTCCCCGTCCCACCAGAGCCACTGGTCAGGCTCATTGAGTCTGGGAATCAGCCATCAGCCCTGAAAGGGGGGCTGGCCCCAGCTTCCTCCTCTTGAAGGAGCAGGTCAGTGCACAAGTGCCAACGTCCCTTCTAGACTGTCCTTCCCAAAACAGCATCTCAAATTTGCCACTTCGTTGCAAACCACCATTGCCCCTCACCAGACACCCAGCCGGCCCCACATGCTGTTGTCCCTGCCTTCCATTCTCCAGACAGGAGGGTCCTTTTAATGGCATGGAGCAGACCCTGCCTGGCCCAGCCTCTCCCTTCCTTAGGAACCTGCTCTCCTGCCCTGCCCTGCCCACCCCGTGCCCTCACCCTCCTTCACCAGGACCATTCAAAGTTCCACATTCCCCTCAAACACACTGCGCTCCCCCCACACACAGCCTTTGCCCTGCCATGGCCTCCATCTGGCAGTTGTGTGTGGCTGGCTCCACCCCTTGTCCCAGTGCCCCCTCCCAGTGGCCTTCCTTGGCACCCCCATCAGAATCTAGCACCCCGCCTTCTCTGCTTACTCCCTCTTGACCCTGATGGCAGCAACATCACACATCCCAGCTCTCCTCATTGATCCCGGCTGTGGTCATCCTGTTCTCCCCGCTGGCCAGTGGGGGGCGCTCCTTATGCTGGGGAGTGGGGGGATTTAGATCAGCCTCTGCTGTGGCCTGTGCAAGGAGGCAGAGGAGGTGGCTCAGCCAGCGGGGCGGGGGCGGGGGCGGGGCACTCAGCCGGAGACCATCAGAAGGGGGAGTCACCAACCTGGTCACCAGGAGGTGGCCACCAACCTGGACGTGGCAGGCGGCAGCAGAGATAGGAGGGGAGAGGGCATGAGAGAGGAAGGGGACAGCTTGGGGTGGCGGGGCAGCAGGACAGGGTCTAGTTGTTCAAGGCAACAGAGAGAGTGTGGGGAGGGTCCCTGGGGTCAGGTTGCCAAGTTTGAATTCTGCCCCTCCTCTTCCTCACAGAGTGTCCTGGGTAAATCTTTTAAGCTCTTTGAGCCTTGCCTTCTTCCTTTGTACAATGGAGATACTAATAGAACCAGCCTTGAGGAGGTGGTGTTAGGATCAAGTGAGATAACACACTTAATGCACCCAGCACCCAAAGAGACCCAAGCCTGGAAAAGTATAGCCTGCAGTGGGTTCTGGGAAGACCCCTCCAGCACTCCCACCCCAACTCCCCATCCCCCACCCCCAGGCCGAGGGAACTGCAGAGGCCTGGGACAGGCAGGAGGGAGGTCCTGCAGGGGTCCTGGTTGTTTCTTGTTTCTGCTTTGACATGCTGTGCTCTGGGCCTGCCCTGGCAGCGGCACCCGGGGCACTCAGGCGCCAGAGACAAGCCCCTTCCTGCCTTGAGCCTATTAACTTCATGAAATAAGAGCAGTAAACTCCTGGGTACGGTGAGGGTCTGGGGTAAGCAGAACGGTACAGAAGCTGGGAAAGGCTGGGAGGGCCTTTCTCTTTCATTCCTGGGGGTGCGGGCTAGGTCAGTGGAGAGGGCAGGGGTCAGGCGGCCCTTCCCCTAGTGCCCTGGTTGGATGCCAGTGGCCAGTCAGGCCCTCTTCTCTGCAAGCCTCTTCCCCTTCTGAGCCAGCTTTCAAGGGATGAAAGGACGGTCTGCCCTCTTGGTTAAGGGGACAAGCACGGCAGGGAGAACAGGGAAGCCCAGTGCTTGCCCAGGCTGGGGTAGAACAGGGCAGGATATAGGGTTCTTTCTTTTTTTAAAGATTTATTTTTTATTCATACAAGAACTGGGGTACAGGCCAGAGGGCACCGGAGGGTGAGAGGATTCACCAGAGACAGAGCAGGGAACAGAACAGGCAGAAGGACAGAAGACACTGCTGAGGGGAGCAGCGGGCGAGGCAGGAGAGGTCTGCCGCCCACGTGGGAATCTCCCTGGCCGGCCGGGAATCGAGCCCATGCTGCGGAGGCTGCGGACAGCTTCACAGAGCTGCCTTCAACCCACTGGGCCACCGGGGAGGCCCATGGAAATAGGGTTCTTTGAAGAAGAGGGCCATGCCTGCTGGATCCTACATCTGGAGGGGGGGGTGGGCCTTGCAGGAGGCCAGGAGGGGTGTTTGTGTTCTGGGGAACAACGATTGAACCTCCCCATGTCCCTGGCTGCCAGGGAAGAACTTGGCCCCTTCTCTGAGCAAGTCCTGAGCCCGAAGGTCCTCACCCTCTCCACAGCCCGGTGGATGTGGTTGGTCTGCAATGACCTGGTTCTTCCAGCCCGCGGAGGCAGCCTCCCGCTAGCCCTCCCCTGGAGAAGTGCGGTCTCCCGCCCCAGCTCTGTGACCTTGGGCCGGCTTCCAGCTGACCTGGGCTACAGGAGCGGGGCTAGGGGGTCTCTTTTGGCTCCTCCGGCCGTGTGTCCAAGAGCAGACACAGACACCTCCGCACCACCTGCTTTTGCCCCATGTGCACTGAGAGAGGGATGCAGGGCTCGCGATGGTTCAGCCCCAAGCTCTGCAGGCCCATCAACCTGGTTCAGACTTCTACTCCCCCACTTCCTGGCACTCTGATCTGAAGCAGGTTGCTTGAGCTCGCTGCACCTCGATTTCCTCACTGGTCCAACGAGGCTATTGGAAGCAGCACCTGCCTGACAGAGGCATTGTGAGGATTCAGCCAGATCAGTGTGTAAATTGCTTCGCTCAGCACCTGGCACACCACAAGTGCCCAATGAATGGAGCAAATGAATTATCTGGGGACCCCTCTTGGGCCAGCATTTGGTGCTGAGCACATTTAGGCCCAAGGCAAAGGAAGTAATTTGTGAATTTTCTGATGCTTTTTGTACAGCTGCTTTTTGAGAAATACATGATGTGACTTCACCCTCCCTGGCCCCAGACATAAGCACAAGCATGTACACCCACCCACGGACAGGAAATGGAGAGCAGGTGGCGGGAAGCATCTGCAGTCAGGCCCACACTCTCCTGATCTCTCTCTCTCTCACACATACACACACACACACACACACACACACACACGATGCAGGAGATGTGGCCTCTGCCTCCCAGAGCTTAGTGTAGTGGGGAGCCAGGCCAGCAAGCAGCAGCTTGGATGGTGGAACTCACGGTGAAGGAAGTACAGGATCATGAAGGTGGTCAGGAGAGCCTTCTGGAAAAGTAATGTCCAAGCCGAGACTTTAAGGACGCTTAAGAGTTCGCCTCATGAAGGGTGTGTGCCCATGCATGTGTGTCTGTCGTCTGTGGCAGAGGGAAGGGCACATTAAAGCCATGGGGTGTGAAAGGAGTGTGATGTGAGAGGGGCGAAGGGGGATGATGATGGGAAGGTCAGCACCCACAGAGGCCTGGGGCACCAGTGAGAATCTGGATTTTCTCTTGAAAATCCACTGGGGAGCCACTGGAAGGTAAAAGCAGGTTCAGGCGGGGCCAGGTGACTCCCATCACTGGGCCTTCATTCTTCCCTCTGTGCTGGCCCATAAGCCCTGGGCCTTGCTGGCTGTGTCCCATTCCTGCTTGTCCATTGAGGCATCTGGTGTCCTGGTGGAAGGTTGCTGGGAAGCAGGACCCTGGAAACTTCCCCCTACCAACCCCCTGGGGAGCCAGCCTCTCAAAAATCAGCAGGGAATAAGCGCAGCTTCCCTGGATCCTGTCTGGAACTGCTATTGGCAAGTCAATTTCTTATAAATCAAATCACATGTTAAATGCAGTAAGGGAAGTAGCTATTTACAGACCTAGAAGCCCGAAGACTATCTGGGTAAAGGCAAAAGATGATCCTTGAATAGGCTGGGAGTTTGGGTGGGTTTTGGTTCTGCCTGACTGTGACTGGCCAGCGTTCTGGAGCGCGGGCAGGATGCCAAACCCAGGAGATGCCAGAATATGTGAGGGGAGCCCTGAGGAGCGCTAAGGTGCAGGGGAGAGGAGTGTCTATGGGCTTCTTCCCCGAGGGGTGAGTGCTGGTAGTGGATGCAGAATGCAGGGCTAGGAGAGCCTTCATGTCTGCTCAGGATGGAGAAGTAGTCCCTCAGATGGAACTGTGGCTGGAAAGGAAGCCAGGCAGGAGGAAGTAGCCCCAGAAAGGTGCAGAGGTGGGAAGCCTGGGGTCACACAAACTGGGACAGCAGAGCCCCCTCTGATTTGTCTTAGGGCTGATAGTAGACCTTAGAGGCTCCTGGACACCCTCAGCTCTGCTCAGGGGAGATGAGAAGCCCAGAACTTGTTTGCTGAGCCTTAGGTCCAGCTGGGCAGCTCAGGCCAGGTGCGTGGGTGGCAGGCTGGTGCACAAGAGTGAGGGTTAAGCCCAGTGCTGGCTCTGGACCCTGCCCTGGGCTGCTGGGCCTTCCTGCACCAGGAGCCAGGTGAGAGGGTACAAAAAGCATCTCTCTGCCAGGCACCACGACCGAAGTCACCAAGTGGGAGCCCCATCTCTGGAGTCAACCAGGCTAGGGGTGTGACTTAGGCTATGTCAGCTCCTGGCTGTGAGACCCCGAGCAAAGCATTGAAACCCCTTTCAGTCCCAAACAGGACTGTGTGAGGGTATGGGGTGGGGGTGGGGGCGGTGGTGTTGGGGCCACTACAGTAGGGACTTGCTCATCCTGCTGGCTGGTGCCCACAACCCTGCAGGAACACAGGCCCTGTCTGCACCCACCTCCCTGAGGAAGCAGGGTCCAAGGTTTAAGGGACCCCCAGCTGCATGCTCTCCGTCTTCTCATGTAGCCATGTGGCTGACTGGGGGTGGGGGGCCAGGTCAGAGGACACATGGGAGGCAGGAGGAAGATGAGGTCTGAGCTGGAAGTGGCCCAGAGACCAGTTCCCCAACTGAGCAGGGGGGCCTGGGGACCAAGGCCAGGCATTCCTTTCTTTCCATCCCTCCTTCTATTTAGGAACCCCTGAAATATTGCCTAGGACTATGTCTGGGGTGGGGGGCAGGCTATTAGAGGGCCATGCTGGGAAGGGGTGTTAGAATGATGGTGGGCTCTAGGGACATAGGATCTGGATGGGTTTATGAGGCTCCCCCCAACCCCAGGATGGGGGGCTGGCAGCAGCAGCCCTTCACTACAGGGATTCAGGCTGCCATCTCCATAGCAACAGGTATCCCCAGCCAAGGAACTGCTCTCTTAAAGACACAGCACAGCCCTGGACTATAGCCGCCCGGAGCTGGGGGCTAGGTTTGTGGGGTCTGTGTCTCCATGTGGCTCACCCCACTCTCTCCTACAGTTTTCTTGGGGAACTGGCAGGAGAGAAATGTATCCCAAAGGGTTGAATTTGTAACCTCTGTAAGTTGCCTGGGGAGCAGACAGCTTGGCTGAAAGCGAAGGTGACCCGGTGCTAACCTAGGCTCTGATGTGGTCCTGTCCTCCTTAGCTCCTCTTCTTGCCTGTCTAATCCCCAGCTCCTCAACAAGTCCAGACCCCCAGACTCCTCTCCCAAGAATCAAAAGGGTTAAACTTGAAGGCAAAAAGCCCAAACAGAATATTAGGACCACAGGGATTTTCTGTATTTATAGGTTGGGGAACTGAGTTCCCCAAAAGAGGCCAGAGGATGCTAAGAACCAGGCCTAATTGAAACTGAGGCTTCCTGGGGGCTCCCTGGTGGCCTAGGGGTTAAGTCTCAGTGCTATCACTTCTACCCCTGAGTTCGATCCCCTGATCCCTGGCCAGGGAGCTGACCCACATGGCGCAGAAGACCTCTCCTGTCTTACCTGATGCTCCCCTCAGCAGTGGATTTCAGTAGATCCACCTATTCTGCTGCCCACTCCGTCTCTCGTGAATCCTCTCACTCCCCCAAACCCCTGCATCTCTGGTCTGCACCCGTTTTTCTAAGCAAAATTTAAAAAAAATTTTTTTAAATCTTTAAAAAAGAAACTGAGGATTCCCAGGGCTTTGTCCCCTGGGTCCATCCAGTGAGCCCCTCCTGAACTTTATTCACGCACCTCACCTTTGCAGTTTGTGCTCTAGTCACAGATCACCCACAGATTATTCAGGTTTTTTTTTTTTTTTACTTAAAAAATTGTATAGACTTTACAACTCAGGGCCTCCCCGGTGGCGCAGCGGTTGAGCGCTGGGTTGCAAAGCTGCCCGCAGCCTCTGCAGCACCAGTTCGATCCCCGGCTGCTCCCCGGCCACCAGAGGAGGGTCCCACATGGTGCGCAGACCTCTCCTGCCGCCCGCTGCTCCCCTCAGCAGTGTACTTCGGTCCTTCTGCCTGCTCTGCTCCCCGCTCTGGCTCTGGTGAATTCTCTCACCCTCCCGCGCTTCTGACTGTACCCAGTGCTTGTATAAACAAAACAAACAAACAAACAAACAAATAAATAAAATATGCCTCTATAAAAAAAAAAAAATAAAAAAAAAAATTTAGACTTTACAACTCATTGTAAGAGAAAAAGTCAGTTATCACTTGCCATAAAAGTAAATATAACAAACTGTACAGTGGCATTAAAGTCTAGCCAGACTCTTGCCCCCTGAAGTGCTGAGCTTCCTGCCTTGGCTCTCTGTTAATAAGCAAGGTTAGCACATGGCGGAGGCTTTCAAGACACACTCACACCATCCCAGATGTCCTCCAGGGACAGTTTGTGCAATTGACAGACCACTGAAAACGAGTGCTCTTCCCACTGAGGCCTTCCCGCTGTGTCTCCAGCGTGACCCGACATACCCTTGGGACTTGGGGCAGTGACCTGGTCAGACGTTAGACAGAGGCTGGGGTCGGGCGCTTAGGGAGCGGTGGGAATTTTACCGCACCTGGGAAGGGAGCGACACCTTCCTTCCTAGAGTCTGAAGATTTGGGGGGTGGGCAACAGGCCTCAGCGTCCTGCTGAGTGCCCGGCTGCCCCCGCTCCCCGCAGCAGTACTTCATCCTCCTCATCATCACTGACGGCGTCATCAGCGACATGGAGGAGACGCGGCACGCAGTGGTGCAGGCTTCCAAGCTGCCCATGTCCATCATCATCGTGGGCGTGGGCAACGCTGACTTCGCCGCCATGGAATTCCTGGACGGGGATAGCCGCACGCTGCGCTCCCACACGGGGGAGGAGGCAGCCCGCGACATTGTGCAGTTTGTGCCCTTTAGAGAGTTTCGCAACGTGAGTGTGGATCCCGGACTGGGGAGGGGTGGTTACGGGATCCCAGCAACCATAGTTACTAATCAGGGATGACATTCTTGCCTGTCTAATCCCCAGCTCCGTTGACCACATATTTCCTGAGGACCTACTGTGTGCTCAGCACCATGCCAGGCTGCCCCAGATGAGGCCATGACGGTGTGAGGGATCAAGCTAATGGCTCACAGGGGCGTGGGGCCCGTGAGCTGGGGCTCAGGGAAGGTCAGGTTACCCATGCCAGGCACAGCACTCCAGGCAGACTGCGAGACAGGAGCAAAAACCTAGCAATGAGAGGCTTTCCTGGTAATCACCCCGCACCCAGCCTCACGTGGAAAACGAAGCCCATTTTAGGATGGTCTCTTCTCTTTAAGGAGACCGGTAGCCCCTGCCTTATTCCTGGATGTGGCTCTGGTCCTATTTGAGGTGAATACAGGTCTGCCCACAGAGGGGCTACAGTTGGCTTCCAGGTCACTACCCTGGCAGCTGGGCCCACGAGGAGCCTGAGGGAGCCTAGTCTCTCAGATGCCACCCCTGTATTACCAGTTCAGTCCTGACTTATCTGACGAGAGGCACACTGTGTGGCCTTGGGTAAGTCCCTGACCTCTCAGTTCCCTCAGCTGCAGGTGCTTCTCTGCTACTGTGGCTCAGATCCTTGGGGGCCGGTGAGAACAGCCCACTCTGAGTTGTGCTGCGTGTCCCTCACATCTCTGCCCAGGAGCCTCCGGGTTCGAGATGGTTGGATGCCTTCCTCTGGAGCATTAGCTCCCGCATGACAAATGCTGGGCAGTGCCACCCATTCATGCCCACGACATTGACAGCACCTCCCTGTGCCTGGCCTGTGGCTGCGCCTTTAGCAGTGAACAGCTGTGGATAAGGGGCCAAGGAAGTGCTCAGGAAATGTTTGCCAGAGAGGAGGCTCACGGTCCCACAAAGCCTCCCACAGACACATCCATCCTAAACTGTCATTCAGAGGCAGCTCCAAGTGCCCATGGGCAGAAATATCCACACCCCCAGCCCCCCCAGGGAGGCATTGCTAGTGGTGGGATTCCAGGCCTGGGTGGGGATGAGGGATGCTCCCCGCTGACAGCCCTGGCATCCTCAGGGGACAATTCCGGAGCACGGTGAGGCATGGCGGCCTCACAGCCGATGTTCCCGTCAGTAATCCTGTCCTGCCACCTTTTCTCCCCCTCAACCCTCAGGCAGCAAAAGAGACCTTGGCCAAAGCTGTGCTGGCGGAGCTGCCCCAACAAGTCGTGCAGTATTTCAAGCATAAAAACCTGCCCCCCACCAACTCGGAGGAGCCCGCCTGAGTGCCAGCCCGTGCCCAGCAGCAGCATGCCGGCTGGGTCCCCCGCCTCCCCCAGGAACGTGCACGCTCACCCTGCTTCCTCGTGGGTGGCCTTTTTTTTTAACTGATCCACGTTTTTATTTTTTACAACTGGACCTCCGCCCCCAGCTTCCCCCAGCCCAGCTGGGCTGCCTTTGTTGGAGTCAACAGATGATGCTTCCAGGCCAAACTGGCTTCCTCTCCTCCTCTCCCTACCCTTGCCACTCTTAAGTATTGAATGTACTTTGTATAATTTTAGTGGAATTATTATTGTTATTAAAGAGAATAAAATTTTTATAATCATAACTGGCTTTTTGCCCAGTGACTGGCTGCACTCGGAGAGGACCGTGTCCGGGGCATCGCTCGTGTCGTGGCCTGTGCCTGATTCCTGCTGTTCTTTTACACTGTGGTTGTGTGTGACTTGTTATACTCAGGGTATTAAAGGAGGTTCAGATGTCCCTGTGTCGACTCCTTCTTCAGCCAGGACCCAAATGGCTCACGGACCTGGGAAGCGATACCCCTGTCCTGGGGCAGCCTGTGAAGTCGGCCGAACCCCGTCCACATGGGGGACACACATTCCACCTGAACAGTAACACTGTCCTGGCACAGAAAGTGGCACATTGGCAGCACTCAACAGATTCTGGGGTAAAGGGAATGTCTAGGTCCCCCCCTACAATGTAGGGCATACGAAGCCCTATAAAGCCCATCACCAGTGTTTCTGGGAGTCCCCACATGCTGGCCAACATCACATGGTGCCCCCACTTCTTCCTCTCCATCCACTCTGTCCTACGTTCACCACCACCTCCCAATAACCCACACACACACAGCAGTTGCTGCTACCCATTTTCCCCCTCTTGGGGTCCCCCCCGGCCATCGGGTACTCCATGCTCTGTAGTGTTTGGCCTTAGGATGCTAAACAGGTGCTGCTGTCCCTGCCGATAGCAGCCGTGTCTCTGCCGCATGCCCCTGGTAGACTCAGGCCCAACTTCATGAAATGAGCCAAGGACCCCTTCTGAGCCCCTAACCATGCTCCCACTTCCCCCCTCAATGATGTACATCGTCCTCTCTCCTGCTCACCCCCAGCACTGTGTTCCCAGCCCCATGATGAGGGTTTTAAGGCCTCATCCTGGTGAACTCTTCCACTGCCTGTGACCATCCCAGATGAGGAAACAAGCAGAGAAGCTAATGGAATCTATCAGAGGCAGAGTCAGAACTTACAACTGGAACTGGCCACCCCTGAGCCCACACTTGTGCCGTGAACTGCACGTCTTCCTCCCCCCGCAAAGGCATCTCCTAAAGTTGACGGTGAATTTTCCTTCCTCTCCAGTGAAACTGGGAAGTTGGTTACCTTGACCTACTATCCCAGGAGGCTCGGCCAGCGTTCCTACCTCCAGGTGCCTGGTAAACTGGGGGACCACTATTATCTGATGGGAGCCAGTGTGGGGGTACCTTCATCCAAAGCTTCTAATGCTTCTGCTGATGCTGTGGCCTCCAGGAGTCAGCTGAGACTCCTGTAGGGACACCTTCACTTCTCAGAGGGCTGCAGAACAGCAAGGAGCCCTGATTTCCCCCAAGGACCTTTGGGGAATCCCAGCAGCCAGCGTGGGAGCCAATTCCAGCACTGGTACATCTGGCTGCTTTTGGTTCAGGCCCAGCCCTTTAATTATATATCAATAAAAACTGAACAGCCAAGCCTTGTGCTTACACTTGGTTCGGACACATAAAGAACAGGCTGGAAAGTAAGCTTGAACATCTGACTAGAAAGACTCACCCTTGAACCCCTCCATGGAAGCTTGGGCACTGACACTTGTTTAAATTTCACTGCAGAGGGCCTCCTCGGTGGCATAGCGCTATGAAGCTGTCCACAGCCTCTGCAGCGAGGGTTCAATTCCCTGCTGGCCAGGGAGAGTCCCACATGGTGCAGCAGACCTCTCCTGTCACGCCCGCTACTCCCCTCAGCAGTGCTTTCAGTCCATCTGCCTGTTCTGCTCCCTGCTCTGTGTCCAGTAAACTCTCTCACCCTCCCGCACCTCTAGCCTGTACCCCAGCTTTTGTATAAATAAAAAATAAATCGGGCCTCCCTGGTAGCACAGGGGTTAAGATGCAACCCATGAAGCAATCCGCAGCCACTGTAGCACGAGTTCAATTCCCGGCCAGCCAGGAAGAAACCCACATGGCAGGACAGACCTTTCCTGTTTCACCCGCTGCTCCCCTCAGCAGTGTGCTTCAGTCTGTCTGCCTGTTCTGTTCCCCGCGCTCTCTGGTGAATCCTCTCATATCTGGCCTGTACCCCAATTCTTGTATAAAAATTAATAAATCTTTTAAAAAATCTTTAAAAGAATAAATATTAAAAAATAAATTTCATTGCAGAAAAACGGACTTAAAGGCTCAAATTAAAATTTTGGTTGCATCACATAACTCAGCAAACCCAGGCAAGTCATCAATTACCCCGCTACGGAATTTGGTGTCCTCTAAAAAAATATGCAAAGGGATTGCTTCACGGGGCTTTTTTTTTTTTTCAGGATAAAAGGTACTGAAGTCCATAAAACAGTCTGCAGCTGTTGCAAGCAGTGCCTGGTCCAAACAGAGCAGGTTCTCAGCATCCACTGAATGCCTGATGCAGCAGACGCCAGGGATGATGTGCTTGGCCATTACTGAACAGTAAGGGGAGCCAGCCGGCAGCCTGGCATTGGGGGTGGGCATTGCCCAGGTTCTGCCATCCAGTTCAGTGAAGCTCTGAAGCTGGGGCCATGTTCTGCCTGTCTTTGCTGGGATGCTCCCTCGCTCCCTAAACTGTAAGGGAGCAAAATGCTAGCCTCCTCCAAGCAGGACCCACATTCCAAACTGTCGTGCACAAGTGGGCCAGGAATGCCAGGAGATCAAGAAAATACCCCAGTGCAAAGCCACCGAGTTCTCCTGTTTTTTGGAGGGGCTTAAGACAACAGCTGAGCTGCATACCCACGGGTAGGGCGCCCGAGCCAAGGAAGCGGGTGTGCCAAGCAGCTGACATTTAGCTATGAGAGAAGCATGCAGCAGAAGCTGGTGGTTGGGGCTCTGACGACCACATCTGACCCTTCATGTCAGTGTTCTAGTTGCAAGTGAGGAATGCGGGTAGGATGGAAAATCCTGCCACAAGTCACCACTCATAGAAGCTCAGGACACAGCACCCTGATGCTGGGGGAGGCCCACGTGATAGCACTAATGGTGGCTGCCTCTCCCTGGGCACTGTGTGCCAGATACCACGCCACATGTGGAGCCTCACTCACCTTCCCCAGGGAGCTAGTGTCCCTATGGCCATTTACCAAGGAGAGACGGGCCCAGAGAAGTTAAGGACCTTGCCCAAGTGCCCCAGCTAGTCAGCGCATCTGGTTCTAACCTCATGACCATTGTGGCCCGGAAGGTGGGCACCTGCGGGAGCAGAAGCAGTGGGGGTGCCACAGGGGAATAAGGTTGCTCTCTGGGTAGAAAGGAGGTAGCTAGAAAGGAAGAAGCCATGAGGTGGAGAGTGAGAACACAAGGGCCTAGTTGTAGGTCCTGGAAAAGCAGAAGCCCCCGCTGGGTTTGGGAGGCCAGCCTTCTCTCTTCCGGGATTCAGGAGCAGGGAAGGCATGTGAAACAGGCTGCTGGTCACCTTTCCAGGCCCAGCACCCTTGGCCTCCCTGCTTTTCACAGATGGAAGAACAGACGCTTTGAATTTCATGTTCCTTTTCTCCCCACCTAGGTGGGTGACAGAGCCAAGGCAGACTGTAAGGAACATGGGGTACTCAGGCTTTTTTTTTTTTTTTGGAGGCCTCCCCCACCTCCCTAGCCTCTATGGCCGCCACCTGCACTGCTTTTGTCCCAGGTTTCATTACCCACATGAGAGATAACATTTTATTGCAAAAGGCACCTGGGAGCAAGAGCACGGGGCATGAGCACCTATGATATCAGACACCTGGGCCAAGAAGCATATGTAAAAATGGACACCTGGAGAAGCATGGGTGTAAGGGAGAGTCGTGGGGACTAGAAGGCTCAGCTGCTGTCTGCTGGTCTGTGTGTCTGGTCCCTTGATTCAGCATTAAAGGCATGTTAGAGATACCAAAGGCTCCAAAATTATCTTTCCACATGCCTGAATCAACAATGAACCTACCCGGCCTGGGAGAGCTGCACAACACAGGTGAATGGCAAGAAGTGGCAGGGAAGGCAGGGTGTGACCCCAGCTAGGCTACGGGGTTTCTCACCAATAAGCTTCCTCTCTCGCATGGTTTAAGTTGTGGAATGCACCACTCAGAACAATGTAAGCAAGACTGAAGAAACCCTACACCAGACTTTGCTCTATCTCCAATTCCTTAGTGATAAAGTCCCACTATTATTAATGCAGGAAAGCCACATCTTATGGTTTAAAGCAGTGTTTCCTTCTGTCCCTGTCTTTCTATTCTCCTTTGGGTTTGAACTACATGGTGTACACTGAATGCTTTTCAAGGCTGCTTTCTCCACTCAGCAGACCAGACCCTGCTTTGTTCTCCATGGCTTCACAGACCCAGCATCTCAGCAACAGGGCCCTGCATTAATGGGGACAACAGAATACAATGAAATGATCACCAGCAACTCCCAGGTTCTCCCAACACATGAAGAGCAGAAATCTCAGTCTTTATAGTCTCTACCTTCTTAGCATAATCAAGCTGTTAATGTTAGGGTGGACGGGGAGGGAGTTGGGAGCACAAGATTCAGCATAGGAAAAGCTCTTGTTCTCCAACAGGCTTATAGCTTTCAAGTTAATGTATGTTTTTAATCCCTGCAACCCTTTGTCAACTTCTCCCAACATCAACAGAAGCCACAGGTGGAGAAACGACCTCTTAAAAGTCAAACCACAAAACGACGGTGGATTTGATGCCTGAAGTGATAAGAGGTTGCGCTGGGTACGTGCTGTAATAATGACAGCCCGATCGCAGGAACAATGAAGCAGAGAGGCAGAAGGTGCCTACACAGTTTTACCTAACGTCTTGCTTGTTAGGATGGGGCTGACGCGCCTGTACTGACAGTCAGGAACAATTAGCACAGAGCAGTTCTGAAAAGGAGGAAGAATCCACAAGGCATCAGTTATGGGTGACGGGAAGTCACCATCTGCCAACGGGCACCAGTGTCACTGCATGGGAAGGGGGAAAGGAGTGGGCTGGATGAGATCCAGGGGCCTCTCTGCCCACGTTAAAACCGAGCAGCGCCTCTGCCTGCCAGCATCGCAGTGTCAACACATTCTGTACATGTCTCTCTCTGTCTCACACCCAAGGAAGGAGAAACAATTGACGTAGGAACCAAGGTAAGAAAGAACCGTATAGCCTCATTCTCCTAAAGCAGGGGAGCACACGGACTATTTTCTTAAAATGCCAACCTCTGTCCTTGAGGCCACCACATCGTGTCTGTCTTCCCGTCTCCCTTTACGGGACAAAGAGGGGGAGCAGAGCTGCCAGGTCTTGGCTGCTCACAGCCTCGAGCTAGCTGCTCTGTGTGAGAAGGGGAGAGAGCAGTAGGGCAGGGGATAGAAGCAGAGGAAAGGACCAGGGCAGCCCCTTTAGGCTGGAAATAACTTCTGTTGTTAGAATCCACAACTGTCGATGTCTCCTGGCCAAGACAGCAGAGGATGGGCAGGCCACACAGATGGACCCCACTGGGGTGCAACTCCAGGCCTCCAGGAACCAAGTTATCTCATCCACACACCTAGCAGCACATCTGCGTTCTGGCCACAGGGACATACCAGGGCCTATGTTTCTCTAAGGTTTAGAGTCTTAAATGGGATTGGAGGGAGGGAAGAGGGATGGCAAAGATTAAGAGAACTTGACAAGGAATGATGAGTGTTAAGTGACACCCCTTGCAGGTACAGGTTATAATCTTTACTTAGTCACACAACATCAAGAATGGGTTAGTTCCAGGGGACACTCCATTTCATCAGCTGGATCAGTTCTTGTCCCCCACATGCCTCACAATGCAGTCTAACTAAATAAAGGATACCAATGCAATATCTGTTCTTGCTCCTTTTTGCTGTAGAGCAAGGAAAAAACAAAAAATCCAGACAAGAAGCCACCTAACCCAAACCCTCTTCAAGCCAGCTGGTGCCTATCTTCCCAGGGCATGTTCAGTGGATTTCTGCGGGGCCCCAGCCCCCACCCCACCACATCAGTGAGGAAAGAGGCAGCAGGAGGGGCTGGGCAGCTGCACAGGAGTGGAAAGAAAAACCAAGTACAAGTCGGCCACAAGTGGATCCTGGCACATTTTTAGATGAGGTTAAAAATGTCACGGTGTGCACAGAAAGCAGGCAAAGTAGTTTTCTGAGGGAAATACTGCCTGGAGGCAGAATGTACTGTCCGGTCTACTCTCGGGGAGGCGTTCCCAGGAAAGGACACAGGAGCTAGGGGGCCTCGAGGAAGGTGTTGGTTCGGAAGATAGAGGAAACAATCTTGCCAGTGGCGTTGATGGTGCCTTCACTGTCCGAGCTGGACTCGGAGTCGCTGCTCCCAGAGTAGGCGCCCAAGCCTGGCAGGATGCCAATGCAGACAGCAGCAGAGGGGCAGTGGATGGAGGGGCTGCTCAGGGATGTGCTTCCGAGAGACACACAGGACGGTGCTTCTGCAAAAGAGGAAGAAGTGCTGTTACGTCCTCCCGCTTGCCCAGAGTTAACGATGCCCTTTCCACAGGCTAGGCGCCGTGAGTAGACTTCTCCCAGAAGCCTCAAAACATTCTCATCATCATCACCTTACAATTGTGTTGCTCTTTTACAACTGAGAAAACCGAAGCCACAGCCAGGCAACAACTTAAGACCATGTAGAATGTCCCCAAGCAGCTGTTGAGGCCCCAGGACACCCAGTTACTCTTCCATCTCAGCAAGTGGAAGCCTTCATCTAGAAACTGCAGGGCCTGAAGGTTTCAGGACACGTTCAGAATTCTACTGTACCCGTTCTTCTCTCTAGATGTTCCCAGACTCATTTAATCATGACAACAACCTGGCATTACCCCTTATTTTACTAATGAAGCAGGTCAAGTCACTTGGCTTAGATATGCCACTTAGAGTAGAAAACCTTAAACTAAATCTGAATCAAAAGACAGGGCCTGGGCCTCCCCGGTGGCGCAGCGGTTGAGCGCTGGGTTGCGAAGCTGCCCGCAGCCTCTGCAGCGCCAGTTCGATCCCCGGCTGCTCCCCGGTCACTGGAGGAGGGTCCCACATGGCGCGCAGACCTCTCCTGCCGCCCGCTGCTCCCCTCAGCAGTGTACTTCGGTCCTTCTGCCTGCTCTGCTCCCCGCTCTGGCTCTGGTGAATTCTCTCACCCTCCCGCGCTTCTGACTGTACCCAGTACTTGTATAAATAAATAAATAAAATCTTAAAAAAAAAAAAAAAAAAAGAATAGAAGCTGTTAAAAAAAAAAAAAGAGTCTATTAAAAAAAAAAAAAAAAAAAAAAGACAGGGCCTCCCTGGTGGTGCAAGGGGTTAAGCACAGCACTGTGAAGCTATCTGCAGTCCCTGCAGTGCTGTAGCACAAGTTCAATCCTTGGCCAGGGAGCTACTCACATGGCACAGCAGACCTCTCCTGTCTTGCCCGCTGCTCCCCTCAGCAGTGTATTTCAGTCAGTCTGCCTCTTCTGTTCCCCACTCTGTCTCTGGTGAATCCTCTCACACCCTGCACCTCTGACCTGTACCCTACTTCTTGTATGCATAAATAAATAAATCTTAAAAAAAAAGATAACATACTATGACAAGGATGTGGTGAAAAAGGAACTCTCCTACATTGCTGGTGGGAGTGCAAACTGGTCCAACTGCTATGGAAAGCTGTCTGGAGGTTCCTCAGCCTACTAAAAATGGAGCTACCATATGATCCAGCAATTCCACTCCTAGGGATCTACTCAAATGACACAAAAACATTGATTAAAAAAAATATCTATACCCTTATGTTTACTACAGCACTATTTACAATAGGTAAAACCTGGAAACAACCCAAATGCCCAAAAACAGATGACTTGATCAAGAAGTTGTGGCATATATACACAATGGAATACTAGTCAGCAATCAAAAAAGATAAACGCATGCCATTCGCAGCAACATGGATGAAGTCAGAAGGAATTATGCTCAGTGAAATAAATCAGAAGGAAAAAGGAAAATATCAGATGGCTTCACTTGTAGGAGGAATATAGGGGAACCAAATAAGACATCGGGGAAAAAAATAATAACAATATAAAACACAACAAAACAAACAGACAATTATAAATCAGAAACATTCTGCAGGGGAGGAGGAGGGAGAGGGATCGAGGGAGGGAAGGAGGAGCACAGGGGACTGTGGTGATGGTGCACGGGTGCACTGCTGAAGGAAATTCTGTGGGGACTACACCTGAGGGTGGGGGGGAAGCAAATATTGTTTAAAATTGAAAAATGATGTAAAAAATAAAGAAAAAAATTAAAATGAACAATGATGTAAAAAATATATAAAAATATAAAAAAAATTAAAAACGATTAGACACTTATTCTAAAAAAAAAATAAAAAAGATGACATACTCAAAGAATGCCAGTGCTCCCCAAAGATTAGGGACTGGAGCGCAAACCTCACTGCATCAGGTTGACCAGAAAATGACTACCAAGGGTGTTGATAAAAACCCCTGACGACACCTCGCGCAAATGTGGAGAAAACCTGTGTTCCAAGTACATGAACTTAGGAGGAAGCAAAATATTCCAATAAGAAGCTGAAAAGAGGGCATCACACAGCCAGAGCAGAGAGTTCAGTGGATCTGCTCCTCTCACAGGAAGTTCTAATGAAGGAAAGCAGCTGCTAATGATGAACGACGTTACACCATGGAGATCAGGAAAGCAAATGAGAGCCAGCAGTGACGGTGAGAAGTGATGAAGGCTACAAGAAAGTAGAGGCAGTACTGGCAACACACATCTCCAAAACTCATTATGATACACAGAGAAAGTCCTTACATCACCCACCAACCAACAACTGATTAGAAAAATGGACAGAAGGGGCCTCCCTGGTGGTGCAAGGGGTTAAGTCTCAGCACTATGAAGCTATCTGCAGCCTCTACAGTACAAGTTCGATCCCTGGCCAGGTTGCTAACCCACATGGTGCAGCAGACCTCTCCTGTCTCACCGGCTGCTCCCTCAGCAGTGTATTTCAGTAGATCTGCCTGTTCTGCTCCCCACTCTGTCTCTGGTGAGTCCTGTCACCTCCACCCCCACATCTCTGGCCTGCACCCCAGCTCTTGTATGCATAAATAAATAAATCTTTAAAAAAAAAAAAAGGTGGACAGAAGACATGAACTGCTCACTATAAAAGAAATACAAATATTAAACACAGGAGAATAAACAGTAAGGAGGACGATGTGGAGAACAGGCATATTTTCATGCTGCTGGAGGAGCGTAGGGCAACTTGGCAAAGCCCTTCAACCTTAAATGACATAGTTCACAGCAACATTGTTGATGGCACCAAAAGACTGGAGACAAACATCGACTCACAGGAGACCAAGCAGTGATGGCCTACTGCTCAGCCACTGAGAAGAAAGCATCTCTGTAAGAACTGGTGTTGAATGACCTCCCAGATGCTGTGCTGAATAAGAGGCAAGTGTGTGTGAGTTATAATGTGTGTGGGGGGAGGCCCATGTGCAAGTCTCACTGTCTGAAAATAAGACATAAAATAGTGGTTGTGGGGACAGGAAGTGTGTGGCTGGGGAACAGGGAAGACTTAACTTTTCATTCCACTCTCGCTTTCCCTTTAACATTTCTATTATGGGCATGTACTATCTATTCAGACAATTTTTTCAAAAAGGGAAATGGAAAAATTCAACAAGCATCCTGGGCCATTTAAATTAGGGAGCTCCACATATTTCTGGAGGACTCCCCTGTATTACATGAAGAATAGACAGGACAGTCCTAAAGACAAGGGGGCCTCCTTGTCTATAATCTGTCACTGTATGTCTCTAGAGGGCAAAAGCTCTTTCCTCACTACACCATCCCCAGGCATGGGCTTGGCCTGGAGCAGCCAGCATTCACAATGTGTGCGAATACAGAAAAATGTCTTAAAGACGTATTACAAAGTTTCACTGCAAGTGGCTAAATTTTGGGGATGCGGGGTGATGTGAGTAGTTGGAACATAACCTCAAACTGCATGCCAGTCATTAATTGAATGTTCCCTGTATTGTTATTTGTCACATATGCAATGATAATATCAGTAGTCTGTTTTAAAAAAACCTGGTATTGGGCCTCCTCGGTGGTGCAGCAGGTTGAGCACAGCACTGTGACGCTGTCTGAAGCCTCTGCAGTTGCAGGTTCGATTCCTGGCTGGCCAGAGAGATACCCACATGCTGTGGCAGACCTCTCCTGCCTCACCCACTGCTCCCCTCAGCAGTGTCTTTGGTCCATCTGCCTGTTCTGCTCCCCGCTCTGTCTCTGGTGAATCCTCTCACCCTCCCACGCCTCTGGCCTGTACCCCCATACTTGCATAAATAAATAAATCTTAAAAAAAAACAAAACGCAGTATCTTCAAGGGTAAGAACCAGTTACTTAGAAAAGTAATTCATGTGAAGCCATTCATTAAGACATGTATTTTATGAAGTATTTCAAGGGTGAACTCATTTTAGGGCCAATCTTAGATGGAAAAGGATCAATCCAGAATATCTGTGGAAGTCAGACCTAGTGAGGGAATTAAGGGAGCCAGCCACAGAAACGCAACCGAGCAGCCAGGGTTACTATGGCATCAGCAGAGTTGAGGCCAAAAGACCAAATCTCCCAATTATCTAGGAGGTTTCAAGAAAGAAAAGAGACTGCAACTCTGACAAATTTCAGTCCAAAGCAGCTAGTGTCCAAAGAGAACAAAATGGTGCCCTCTGATCTCCCCCATTTGGTGAAGTTTCCTGCCAACTTCTGCATTTGCAGGACCACATTGTCATGCCAAATTACACTGAAAATTACTAACAGAGAACGTTCTTGGGTTTCAGACAGATGCGTGCCTCGAGAATAAATGGGGTCAACTCGCGCATTTATTGGCTCTGCTCAGAGCTTGAGTTCAGAGTCTCCAGTGGGGGAAGCCTGAATCTCCGCTAGGATCATAGAGTTGGGGCCCAAAGAGACGAATTCTTCTACTGTCAAGGACAAGACTCTGAAGCAAGTTTCACAGGTTATTCTTCTTATGGGGTCTTAGCTTCTAGCAAAAAGGAAATTTCTTGCCCAGTTTTTGGTATAAGAATGGAAGGGTAGGAAGAAGGGACTTAGAATGACAAAAAAAGATAGCTCTGACATACAATATCTGAGTTTAAAGAAACCACATAAGTGTTTCTGCAAATAGTTCCTAGAAGGAATAAGCACCAGATACAAGGCTATTATTTAACTAGTTGAAATGTTTTTAAGATTTTTATGAAGTTTTATTCACACACTCTATTTAAGCAGCCACAGTTTTAGCAAGTTTCCAATATATGAAGAAGGTATCAGTGTAATGGAGCTCCTACATTGCCAATGGGAATGTAAACAGAGATAATGTCTTCGCAGGGAAATTTGGCAATATTTAATTACAAATATATATCTTCTCATGCCCAATAATTCTATTTAACCTGACATATTTGTGAATATGTAAAAAGATGCATGTATAGGGTGATTTAATGAAACATCGTAATTGAGGAACAATTGTTGTAATTCTTTCCAATTCTACCAATTGGAACTACTGAAAATAATCAAAATGTTTACCAACAAAAAAATGGAATAGGGCCTCCCCTGGTGGTTGAGCGCTGGGCTGCGAAGCTGCTCGCAGCCTCTGCAGCGTCAGTTCGATCCCCCTCTGCCAGCGAGGGTCCCACATGGCGCGACAGACCCCTCCTGCCACACCCACTGCTCCCCTCAGCAGTGTATTTCGTCATTCTGCCTGTTCTGTTCCCCGCTCTAGTAAATTCTCTCACCCTCCCGTGCTTCTGACTGTACCCAGTGCTTGTATAAATAAATAAATCTTTAAAAAATATATATATGGAAGGAAGCTCTGGAGCCCGGTCCCTGTAAAGGGCGTCGCGATGTGCGTAGACTGTGTGGAGAAGGAATATCCCAACCGGGGTACCATCTGCCTGGAGAATGGATCTATCTTGCTCAACTTTACAGGCTGTGCAGTGTGTAATAAGCGGGACTTTATGATGATCACCAACAAATGTTTGAAAGAAGAGGATGGAGAAGAAATTGTTACCTATGATCATCTCTGTAAGAATTGTCATCATGTAGTAGCCAGGCATGAGTATACATTCAGTATCATGGATGAATTTCAGGAGTATACCATGCTGTGTCTGTTATGTGGCAAAGCCGAAGATACTATCAGTATTCTCCCTGATGACCCCCGACAAATGACTCTGTTGTTCTAAGAGTCCTGCAGTTCTGTTGTAATTCTGTTGTTTTGGTTACAGTATAGCAATTCTCATGGCTTGTTTTATGTAGATTATAATGGAAATTACTCACTTTTTTTTTCTGTTTAGACTCACCTATTCTTTGAAAGGAAAAGTAATTTGGGGGGTTCTCTCTAGAGCTGAGCTCCTCTGCCAAAGTTAGTTTATATTAATACATAAATTGGAGAGAATAGATAAATCTCCCATACTTCAAATAATGTATGTAAATACTCTCCACTCCTTAAGTGTGGGCTGGGCATTGTCACTTTTCTTCCTAAAAGCACAGTAGGGAGAGAAAGAGGAAAAAAATAACCTTACTGTGGGGAAACACCAGCTCAGCCAGCTCACCAGGGGTCAGGAGACAAAGGAGGAGGGGTTTTGGAGGAGGAGGGGTTGAAGAATCACAGCTGCAATATAAGACTTTTTCCTTGTATGTACCCTTCATGGGAGGTGATGAGAATGGCTCTATTGCTGGATGTCATCGCCCAAATCCATGACTGTGGCCTCATCATGAGAAAGACATCAGACACATCTCAGTTGAGCGACATTACCTGACCAGTACTTAAAACCATTACAGTTTTTGAAGACAAGAAAGTCTGAGAACCTCTCACAGCCAAAAAGAGCCTAAAGAAATGACAAGTAAATATAATGAGGTATCCTGGATGGGGTCCTGGGACAGAAAAGGGGCCTTTGTAAAAACTAGGGAAGTCTGAATAAAGTGTGCACTTTAGTTAATTTAAAAATATATATATATATGGAATAAATACGCAACGACAAAATCATGTATTGGAAGGCCAAAAGGAGACATGTGTGGAATGGAAACACGCTTACTAACAGACATGCCGTGATTCCCAAGACACAATGACAAATGAACGAGAAGTGAACCAAAGAGCATGTTAATTAACGTAATGAAGGTAATGATGACAGCAGAAGAACAAAAACAACGTATGAAGTGTTCTTGCCCCAAAAAATCAATTGGAATTGATCAATCTCTAGATCTAATTACCATTTTACAGAAACACAGGGTATAAAGGATTGGGGGTGCAACTAGCAAAATCTAGAGTGGGGGACATTCCACAGGATAAAGAAAGACCTAGCTTCTTCACAAGTAAAACATAAATTATACAAAAAGTAAATGTGAAAATGAGTAAGAACTTATAGGTCTAATGAGACTTAAAGGACATATTGGGATGCAGCAGATCTTATCCTTAATGAAACATCATAATAAAGGAACAATTGTTGCAATTTTTTCCAATTCTAATAATTGGAATTACTGGAAATAACCCCCTTAGTGTATTTCAGTAGATCCACCTGTTCTGCTCCCCACTTTGTCTCTGGTGAATCCTCACCCCCCGTACCTTTGGCCTACACCCCAGTTCTTGTATGCATAAATAAATAAAATAAATCTTAAAAAAAAAAAAAAGAAATGTGAAGTCCTGTTTCACAGATGACCCATTAAGTTTAGCACAGTCTTAATCTCACAGGGAGGCAGGGATAGAACTGAAAATACTCTTGAGTTTCTCATTCCTGATCCTGCCCCCAGGAACCCTCACCTTCACTTACAACTCTGTGCCACTTAATACAGCACCAGATTTATTACTTGAATGTGACCATCAAAGAAAGCATACTCCCGGGGACTGTATTAAGTCTGAAGGCTCAAACCAATCCAACCATTAGCACGAGCCAGGCATTCTACCTCTCTTGGGAAGCAAGCCAGGTGAAATCAAGAAACTTGACATTTAGGGGAGATAGAGAAAAGAAACCTTTGTAAGCAGAGATGATATGACCAGGACTTTGGCTTTGGAAGAATGCCTGGGAGAGCAAAATTGTCATTAATCAGTTCCACTGATTTCTAACAGATTACTTTGTAGGAAAGCTAACATACTTTTGGGTATAAATCCTGTCTGGTAGAAAATAGTTTAAGTTTAGCTGGGCTTGTTTAGATAAGTGCATTCATTCACAGATGCCACACATTCCAGCCCTTTATTATGGTTCATGCATTGTGAGAAAAAAATGAAATGAATGTTGCCACACACCTTGATTCTTGTCATCTGGGTCAGGGTCCGATTTCAGCCTTTTCACACTGTTGCCACTCTCTGAGCTGTAACAAAAAACATGGTGATTGGAGCTATGACCAATCTCGGGGATCAAAGCTTTGAGGTGACCTCAAGGAGCCGAAATGAAAAGTCTTTGCTTCAGGTTCTAATCTCTTTCCAGTTATATTATCAATTATAAAAACAACTTAAACCCTTGATTAATTCAAGGGGTAAAGTGTTAGAACTTCAAGCATCACCTGAACTTCAGATTCTCTGTTGTCTATCATCTGCCTTGTTAAGAATATAAGAAAGAGTTTCAAGGATATCTGGATATGTTTATAAATGACAAAATTTAGTTACAAAAAAATGAAGGAAATATCTTCAGTGACACCCCAAAGAGTATCTAAAGAATGTATTTCAATGAAAGAAAAAATCCCAGAAAAAAGAGGTAAAATAGAAACTGACAAATACAAATATGCATCAAATATAAATCGAAACAAATGTCTGTATAAAAACACACACACCTAATTTGTGGTGCTAAACATGACCACACTGATGCCCTGGAGAGTTGTGGCAGGTAAGAGAGAAGATGACTGTAGCCAAAAGTTCTAAGGTCAGTGTACAATTTTGTATGGGAGCAGGAAAGAAACAGAATACATAAATCTAAACTAGCAGAGAGAAGAAAGTTAATAAAAGATTTTTAAGTCTTCATTAAAAAAAAAGAATACAAGTAAAATTTTTTCAAAACTGTGTGTGGTTGAAGATGATAAAGTTGTAGCAGATATGCTGGAGGAGCAAATCCTTGCTTTTGAGGACTGTGTAATGTCCATGGTCATGGTCGCTTTCAACAAGATCTAAAATCCATCATGGACCACTGCCCTTAAATGAAAGTTTGAAAGACCAAAAAAAAAAAAAGGTAAAAAGACAAGTAGCATTAAGATAGTAGAAATACATCAAAAATCCTAATAAATCCAAACCTACAGCAGAATAAATTTTTAATCAGTTATTAGACATTCCTAAAAAACTTGACAAAACAACTTTAAGACACAGAAAGAACAGAAAAAGTTACCAGGGCAAATACTAACCCAATGAAGGCTGAGGATCTATATTAATATTAGAAAAATAGACTGAGAATAAAAGCATTACAAGGAATAAAGGAAATTACTTTACAATGAGACAATGTTTAATTCACCATGAAGAAAAAATAATTCTGAACATCAATGCTTCTAATTAAAGAAAAAGCTTAAAATATATATTCAACAAAACTGAAGAAAAATCAAGAAATAATTATTATATAGTGGGCGAGTTCAAATAACTCCTCCCAAATACTGATACAGTAAGCAGACAAATATATAAAGACACAGATGTAAACAATACAATTAAGTCCTACTAAGCCTTTGTTCAACAGGGTAGAAATGGTGGCAGTTTCTCATTTGTTTTCTAAGAAACTTCTGAACTCTATTATCTTTATAACACAAGAGAAAATAATTTATTAATCTTTATGAAATGAAAAGAAACTACTGTGATCAATTAAGGAAGGTGGCTATGGCTGGTGTTTTATTTTTTTTCCTTCTTTTTCCTTGTTTTAATCTTAAACTTTTTTTTTTTTTTTTTTTGTTTGTTTGTTTGCTTATACATGCACTGGGTACAGTCAGAAGCGAGGGAGGGTGAGAGAATTCACCAGAGCCAGAGCGGGGAGCAGAGCAGGCAGAAGGACCGAAGTACACTGCTGAGGGGAGCAGCGGGCGGCAGGAGAGGTCTGCGCGCCATGTGGGACCCTCCTCTGGTGGCCGGGGAGCAGCCAGGGATCAAACCAGCGTTGCAGAGGCTGCGGGCAGCTTCGCAACCCAGCGCTCAACTGCTGCGCCACCCGGGAGGCCCAATCTTAAACTTTTAAGTTGAAACATTCTCAGATGTTTGGGGGGGAAAGGACCCTCTTTTTCTTTTTTTTAAAGATTTGTTTATGCATACAAGAGCTGGGATGTGGGTCAGAGATGCAGGGTGAGGGGCAGGGGGGCGGGTGGTAGTGAGAGGATTCACCAGAGAGAGTGGGGAGCAGAACAGGCAGATCTACTGAAATACACTGCTGAGGGGAGCAGCGGGTGAGACAGGAGAGGTCTTCTGTGCCATGTGGGTCAGCTCCCTGGCCGGGGACAGAACTTGCGCTGCAGTGGCTGCATCTTAACCCTTCATAGTGCTGTATCTTAATCCTCCTTGCACCACTAGGGAGGCCCCAGGAAAAGGACCCTCTTAAAATGGAGCTGTATTCTTACCTTTAGGGAGGTGGTTCTGAGCAGGTTCATAAGTGAACTGTACCCTTTCGGGTCCCCCAGTCCCTAGCCTTTGCCTCTTGGTTTATTGTGCTGCTTCCCTTTGCTTTGCTACATTTCTATAGTTAAGTTAGTTTGACTTGAATGATTCATATTTGGGGGGAAAGTGAAAACACCCTTAAAATTAGTTTCGGGGCCTCCGTGGTGGCACAGGCAATTGAGCGCAGCGCTGTGAAGCTGTCCGCAGCCTCTGCAGCGCGGGTTCAATCCCGGCCAGCCAGGGAGATACCCACATGGCGTGGCAGACCTTCCCTGTCTCGCCCGCTGCTCGCGTCAGCAGTGTATTTCAGTCAGTCTGCCTGTTCTGTTCCCCGCTCTGTCTCTGGTGAATCCTCTCACCCTCCCGCACATCTGGTCTGTACCTCAGTTTTTGTGTACATGAATAAATAAATCTTTAAAAAAAAAAGAAATTAGTTTCAACTCCTGCAAATAAAAAATGAAGTGGCAGATGTAAAAAAGATAATAATAAACAATATACTTAACAAGCTCATTCTGTTTTACCTACACAGAAACCAGAAATTATAAAACACAAATGCTCCTCAAGCTCATTTGGAACATTCACAAAATGAACCTGCAGGGCGGGGCACCAAGGAAGTCTAAAGCAATTTCAAGAGTTAGCACCTATAATCCACATTGCACTTAAGGTAGTAACAAAAGGCAAATACACTTTAGACTCTAAGACTTAGAAGATATGCCATGGGAAGACAAATCCATAAAGATCAGTTCTCGCCATAAATTTACCAAGCAATTTAATAACATCCCAATAAAAACCCCAACCATGATTTTTGAAGAACTAAAACTAAATCTAAAATGTAGACGAAAGAACGAAATGGTCAAGAATAGACAAGACACTTCTGAAAAGAATGTAAGGGAACTTGCCCAACTAAATATCAAGATTTATCACAAAGCTAGAATAATTACAGAGGTGCAGGCCAACAGATTCAAGGAAGGGGAAACAAGAACCCCTAAACAAACTCATATGTGTTAGAAGAGAAAGGTGACATAGAGGATCACTGGAGGAAAGCAGAAATATTGGGGGAAAAAAACATTGAAATGTGATCCCAAGATCATAATCTTCACAAAAATTAACTCCAGAAGGTTAAAGACTAACATGTGAAAGATTAAACTCTAAAACTTTAAGGAAAAAAAACTATCTTATGACCTCAAAAGCAGGAGGAGTTTCTTGAATAGAATATAGAATGCTCTAACCATGAAAGAAAATGTTGATACATTTGACCAACTTAAAAAGGTACAAATTTATAGCTATCAATAAACCAGTCCTGGGGGTATAATATAATAGCATGGTAAGTATAGTTGATAAAACTGTATTATCTATTTGAAAGTTGCAAAGGGAGTACAAACCTTAAAAGTTTCCATCACAGGAAAAAAAAAATTTTTAATTATGTGTTATGTGTGGCAATGACTAATAACTAGATGTCTTGTGATGATTATATATATATTGAATCATTATGTTGTACACCTAGAACTAGTATGACACCTGTCAGTTATAAACCAAGTAAACATAATCTTAATATTAATAATCTAATATTAAATAGACCTTACCTACCTTAAAATTAATTTATGAAAAGAGAAAGATAAGCTATAAACTGGAAGAAATTATTAAGAGCTTACTTATCATACTTTATAACATACATACATCACGCATCAGACCAGGCATCAAATCACCCACAGAACTTTAAAAATTAGACTCTTCAGACTTAACTGCAAACTTAAATGAACTGAACCAGAATTGGTGTGAGGCCTGGAATCTACACTATTAACAAACTCCCGGGGGATTCTAATAAACTCAGGGCTGGCATAATAGGAAATCCTGCCCCAGGAGACTAATTTACCACCTTGTTACACCAAACAACAATAAATGATGTAAGTAGTTTCAAAACCCAAAAGGGGTTATATGCATGTCACCAAATAAACTAATAGAGTCATTCTGAAAAATGATCTAAGGACTAAGCAAGGGAGATAAGTTGTGACACACATTTTGCCAGCAGCAAGACACTGCTGAGAGGTAACTAACTGCCTGCCTTGAGAGCCCCTTCTTGGCACAGGTCAGTAAAATTAACCCAGGTTCTACTCCTCAAAGACACTGGCTCAGTCATGAGAGTTTATGTGAAAATTTGAAGGGATAAATCACGGCTCAGGAAGCTGGCCCTTTTCAGGCGGCTGACACTCCTCCCCTCAGTGGCTATACAGCATTTTTCGGTGTAAGCAATGTTCCCGGAACAACTGCAGCTGGTGGCTTTGCCAAACTGCAAGTCCCATCAGTACACATCCCTCCAAACATGTGGCTGGATGCAAACACACCACAGTGACTTTCCTAACAGACTTGACTGCACTTAACATCATTTCGCCCGTGATAGGGTTGATCGAATTGAAACGATCAGATTTAATCTCTTTGGTGCCATTTCAGGATTTGGTAAGGGAGGCGCATAAGACAGAGAACTTATCAAAACCTCTAGACAGTGGTTTTGTATCCATCAGGCAGAGCACCCCCTGCCAGGCCCTCGAAACCCTGTCACAGCCACTAGGTGCTTCCAGCCACAAGGTCTTCACAGCAGCTCTGCCCCTGCCTGCATGTTCTCCTCTCCCTGGCTGCCTGTCAAAGCCCTAGTCCTCCTATATAATCAAGCACTTCCTAATTCCTTCCCTAACTTCCCCCACAGGAGCACACATAACCCCTCCAGGCAGAACTGTTTCTTCCTCCCTGTTCCCATTACGCCCTATACAAATTTTTCCTGGAACGAGCTACCTGGTTTGATAGAAACACAGACGCCCAAATACTGAACTCCCACTTGCTTATTACTATTTGACAGTGGACAAAGGTTCTCAACCTCTCAAATTCTCAGTCTCCCCATCTGTAAAATAAGGATTATAGTAACCTGCACTCATAGACTTGTTGAGAGGAGTGAGATGATGCATGGAAAACACTTAACACAATGCCTGACATCTGGCAGGTGCCCAGCTAAAAACAGCTATTATGCTGAATGAACAACCAGAGAGACAAAGGGTCAAAGGCTATATATAGAAGATACAGACTCTGGAAGAGGAACTTCACAGAGACTTGTGTTTAGGAAACATTTGGCTCCGACTACAACAGAAGTGGCATTTCAGAGTACACAGTCAGAGGGATTTAAGCGGGCTAGCTGGCTGACCTCTTGTGCTTCACAGCTCCTGCCAACAGCTTTGCCTGGGAGAATTTGTGCTTGGTTTCTATGGGTTTCACAACCAGTTTCTTCTCCACTTCCTTCTTGTTTTCTGGAGAAATTCCAACCTTGTTGAGATTACTGTGAGTTACAGGTTAAGGGTCAAACTAAACAAAAAGAAAGAGCTATGACAGGACAATGATAACAAGAGAGAAAACAAATAGAACTTGCTAGCACTTCAGTTCCGCCAATATTTAGGATACTTATTTACAAAATATACACTCTCCTCTTTATTCTGCCCATCAAATCCAGCTGATTTAAAGAGAAATGAAGGTAACCAAGAAGAAAAATGGCAAATCAAGTACAAAATAAAGTTTTCCCTCTGATTTTTCAATGACAATCTGAATACAGCCAGAAAATCTGCTGTTACCATTATCAAGCTTGATGGGGGAAAAGATCTTAAGGAATATAAACAAGAGGGGGAAAAAGATTTCCCTAAAGATGTAAAACTATTTGCTTTTCCCCTCCAAGGGTAAAATCAAATTTTGCAGAATGTCCTCGTAACTAGTGATTGCGTTCAATCTTAAGGGAGCATAGAAGACTAACTCTGACTTCTCCAGGAGCAAAGCAACAGAAGAATCACTTTAAACCTCATTTTAAAAGTAAGAGTACCTCCTCTGCCTTACCCCTACGAAATGAGGACTTGTGGAGGCCCAGGAATCTGTTTTCAGTATGCTCTCAAGGTGACTTTAGTAAGAAACCCCTGTGTAAATACACACAAGAAACAAAGTAATTTTTAAAAGCATAACCAACCACTTTTAACATGACTTTTTTCATGCTTGGGGTCAGTCTCTGTCTCTCAAGGTTTGTCACTCTCTCCCGTTCTCTTCCCTCCCCTGTCATGTGCTCTCACAGCCTACTAGGCAACCGAGGCGTATTTGCACCTGCAGCTTGCAAGGCAAGAATGCCTCACTGGAACAATAGTGACATCTAGTGCCCAAGAAGCCAAGAAGCTTGTATTGTCAGCCCAAAGGGGTGGGGTTGAGGTGTCTGAGCTAGGCTATTTTTCTGTATCCAAACAATGAAGAAAACTGGGTATTAGAAATAAGGAAATTCTCATTCTAGTCACCCTTGAAGCACTAACTGTTCTTATGTGTGTCAGTTACCTTAAATATTTGCAATATTGAATGGGGAGTCAGTACCATTCTGAGTTTCATCTATTTCACGGAAATAGATAATATGTTAATATTAAATGTTCGTTTTGATAGAATAACAAAAAGAATTCATCTTTACTAGAAAATGCCAGAAGCATGAGCATGCTAAGATTTTTTACTGTAACTACATCATTAAAAGATTCAAACTCGTAAAGAAAACTGTATATTGAAAAGTTAAACCAACAAAAGCACCTATATATTTATAGTATATTTCACACAGATAAAAACCAACACTTAACTTTTTTTTTTTTTTAAAGATTTATTTATTTATTATTTATACAGATTGATTGATTGATTGATTGATTGATTAATTGATACAAGCACTGGGTACAGTCAGAAGCGCGGGAGGGTGAGAGAGAATTCACCAGAGCCAGAGCGGGGAGCAGAGCAGGCAGAAGGACTGAAGTACACTGCTGAGGGGAGCAGCGGGCGGCAGGAGACTTCTGCGCGCCATGTGGGACCCTCCTCCGGTGTCCGGGGAGCAGCCGGGGATCGAACTGGCGCTGCAGAGGCTGCAGGAAGCTTCGCAACCCAACGCTCAACCGCTGCGCCACCGGGGAGGCCCCCAACACTTAACTTTTTATTCTCTTAAAGTGAAAAAATGCCCCCAACCTTTTTTGGGAAGGCACACGTAAGACAGGAATACTGTTTCTGACTCACTATCAAAAGCATACACAGTTTTTTCCCTTAAGCCCCTTTCCTCCCCCAAAGCCTTTAAATATGTAAACACAGCTCAAAAATCTCAAGGAATTTATTAGATAGCCATCTTTTAAAAATCACATAGTTTTTAACACACAACACTGCTAAATACTGGTTTAACTTGAAAGGAAACAAGCATTCCATTGTTTATATAGCACACACCACAGCTTATCTGTACTCACAAGTATCGCATTATAAAATGTATCATATTATAACAATCAAGCAAAGCCAAGAACTAGCACCTAATTCAGAGCTTCAATAAACAAATGTCTAAGCCTTCAATTCCTAGCTTTGGCTCCACCCAAATTAGTGCATTCCACACCAGTGGGTTGGACTCCTGCTTTTCTTTGGTTTTTCTAGACAGAACTTTCCAAGTTTCCAATAAAAACTGACACCCCGGGAACTTCTTCAGTTTTGCACTATAATGTTACCTGAACAGAAACATTTCTTTCTTTTTTTTTTTTAAGATTTACTTATTTATACAAGAACTGGGGTACAGGCCAAAGGCGCAGGAGGGTGAGAGAATTCACCAGACAACAGGGGGAGCAGAACAGGCAGACGGACTGAAAACACTGCTGAGGGGAGCAGCGGGTGACAGGAGAGGTCTGCCAAGCCATGTGGGTATCTCCCTGGCCAGCTGGGGATGGAACCCACGCTGCAGAGACTACGGACAGCCTCACAGTACTACAATCAACCCGCTGCGCCACCAGGGAGGTCCAGAAAAAATTTCTTTTGCTTCACTGCTGCCCTGTTCATTCTTCCTTTTGATTTGATACCAAACTAACATTACCCTCCAGTAGGCCAATTTGGAAGACATTCTATGTCTTATTTGCTCACCTTCCAAATTAGGCATATAAAACAAGACAGAATTCAAGTGAGAAGTGTAATTAATGTATTTCCTTAGAGGACAAAGTCTGGTGCCTGACAATGCAACACACACATCCACCCATCTCTGCAAACACTAACACATAATATTATCCTGGGGTTGCCAAGGCAGGGACCAGGGGAAGGGTGGTTCAGAAGTCAGTCTCCACCCTGCAGTTGGGACTGTGGTGGACTTTTCATCAACTCCAATATTCATGTTACGCCAGAAGGCCACTAGCAGAGCTGGGACTGGAAGATAGTCTTTAGCTTCTAGTTCAGAGCAAGATTTGTGAATTGCTGCCACTTTATCTCCATCATTGTCAGTCACCCTGATTTAAATCCATCCTTAGGAACCTATTTACATTCTGCCCCCCGCCCTCCCCATCTTTAATGGAACCTACTCCACACTCCCTGAAAAGAAATACCAACTAACACATCCAGGCAGTCCTGTCAACCTTACAGGGGAAGATCACACTAGTGAGGTTATTAAACATATAAACTAAAAATACCCAGAAACTTCCTCACAAGAAGGGAAAAGCTACTGTAACTTTATTAACCTCTCCTAAGAGCTCTTCATTAATTTATGAACATATACACTAATAACCTACTATATGCCAGGCACTAGGGAAATCCCAGTGACTGAGTCCTTGTTCTATGGAGCTCTCTTTGTATTCTAGCATTGAAGAGATAAACAAACCAGTGTGCAAGTAAATGAAGGTTGTCAGATAGTGATAAGCACTATTTTAAAATAGCATTATGGAGTGATGGGGGTGGGCACAACTTTAAGTGGGGTGCTTAGGGAATTCTCTACAAGGAAGGGAGATATGAACTGAGATCTAAGCCCATGAAATGTCAGCCTTGTAAAATCTGAGGGCAGAGCATTCCAGGCAAAGAAAGGCAAATATAAAGGGCTTGAGGTGGAATCACAAAGCTAATTTGAGAGAACACAAAGGCCAGCAGGCTGGAGGACTGTAAACACGAGGAAAAGTGAACAGGGTGGTTGGTAGACTTACACCAGGTAGAGCCTTGTAGGGTCTGGTAAAGAATATAGATTTAAGTCTAAAGTCAACAGGAAACAAATAGATTTCAAAGACGAAAGCGGGGCCTCCCCGGTGGCGCAGCAGTTGAGCGCTGGGTTGTGAAGCTGCCCGCAGCCTCTGCAGCGCCGGTTTGATCCCCGGCTGCTCCCCGGCCACCGGAGGAGGGTCCCAAATGGTGTGCAGACCTCTCCTGCTGCCCGCTGCTCCCCTCAGCAGTGTACTTCGGTCCTTCTGCCTGCTCTGCTCCTCTCTCTGGCTCTGGTGAATTCTCTCACCCTGCCGCGCTTCTGACTATACCCAGTGCTTGTATGTATAAATAAATAAAAATTAAATCTTTAAAAAAAAAAAAAAGATGAAAGTGGCATGATCCTGTGTTCGCTTTCAAAAGTTTCCCTCGACCGCTGTCTGGATAATGGATTGGGGACAGAGCCGAAGCAAAGACCAAGCAGATGGTGAGAAAAGTCCAGAGAAGAGACTACGACTACAGTGGTGGCACAGAGATGGCAACAACTGGGCAGTTTGTAGCACATTTTAGAGCTAGTTTTCAGCCCAGCACCTGAGGGTCTAGAAACACAGTTACTGAAACTAGGAAAAAGAAGAGATTTGAGTAGAGGGCAGGATGGTAAGGATTGGGCAATGAGAGTTCTGGTTCAGCTAAGCTACATTTGGATGTCTAGAAGACATTCAAGTGGATGCCAAAAGGCAATATTGAGCCAAAGCAAAGTCATCTCTGTTGCTTTCTCTACCCCTCTCTAGGGACAGACTAGCTGCATCTATGGGAAAGGTCTTACTAAGGACCCAAGAGGACTGAACATTGCCTTTCAAAACTCAGATGGCATTTTCTCCCCTGGATGAGGTTCACTGTATCACTCATCTGCCTCAGAGTCTAATTCCACAAGGTAAGAAACCCTGGTACTTACCCTCCTGTGTTAGACCTTTAGTTAATACTAAAGGAACAGGACTTTGGCCTCTCACACTAACAGAGTCTGTTGACTGCAATGGACTCTTGCGTGCTACATAAACTTCACAAATCACTGCCAGTGACTCAGAGCCACAGGAACATCAGTGTTGAAAGGGAACTCAGAGACCACCAAGTAAAAGACCTTCAACCTATTTATAAAGAAAATACGATCCACAGATGTTGATGAGAAAATTGACACCTTACAGACTTCTCTTAAAGTACAAAGGATATTCTGTATTCCTTCAGTTCTTTCAGTTCTTCTTCTCTCCGCTGCTTTTCTAGTAGCTCCTGCTGCCGAGAAACCTCATCAAGAAAGTTGGTCTCATCTTCATCCAAGCCTCTTACCATGTTTTCTGAGAAAATAATTCAACAAGGAACACTTAGCAGGCCAAGGGAAAATATCATCAAATAAGTCTTTCCCTTCTTTTTTTTTCCTTTCTTTTTTAATAAACAGCAGATCCTTCAGGGGATTAGATGAGAGAACTTATAAACCCCATGTCTCTTGGATAGATAACACGGCATAAAATCAAGGCACTTCTTCCATTACTCGATATTAGCATAGAATTAAAATGGGTATCTTGAGTTCTAAATAAAAATATTTAATGTGTCTTGAAGGCAGAAATTTGTTTCCTTTCCGCCTAATGAGCATCTGGAGACTAGATAATCAAGAACATTCCATGGCTAGTTAGAAAATGTATTACATGAGGCAACCATGCATCAAAAAGAGCCCTGGACTGTATTTTCTGAAGCTTACTGAATTTGTTCTTTTTATTTTTTGTGGGACCCTCGCTGGTAGCCGGGGATCGAACTGGTGCTGCAGAGGCTATGGGCAGCCTCACAACCCAGCGCTCAACCGCTGCGCCACCAGGGGAGCCCCTGAAGCTTACTGAATTTGAACTGCTCTTCATACTCCTGCTGCTTCCTGTCCTTCTGTTCTTGTAGCCTTTCATACAGAGATCGAGGGTCATAAGCCTCCTCGGGACATTCTGAAAAGAAGCAGGGAGAGAGAAAGGGAGAAAAAAGAGGGAAGGGGGCAAAAGATATAGACTTTAGAATTCATTCACATTATTTTAGTATCACAAAGGGTTTAAATAATAAAGTCAAGTCTCAGCACGAGCTGAGGGCAAGGACAACGTAAAAATAGTACAAAGTCCGCAGCTTCCCTATGGACCTCAGAGAGGGGCCGGCAATTCTCAAAGTCAACTGTCCACATTGACAGGCCCATGTCTGAAAGAATTAACTGGACACAAGGCCAGTCCAGACCACATAGGGTGGGTGGCACTCTCCGTTGTGGGGATACTGTATCCTTCAGATGGAACAGACTAGCAGCATCTCCTGGATGACACTGTGTGGAAAGGGCAAGGATGTGAGCATGCTGGCCCTGCTCCCACACTAGGGGGCCTTACCTGGGTCCCTCACTCTTCCTAGCCTCAGCTGCTCCACTCTAATGCGAGGGTGTTAATTCCTACTTTATAGGATGGTTGTGAGGATTAAAGCTCACTAAGCTGAATGCCTGCCCACCTTCTGGATCTTCAGGTTTTCTAACTTTCTCCCATTCTTCTTGTCTTTTCTTGCGCCGTTCATCTAGTTCTGCCTCAGACACAAACCTTTTTTTGATAACAAGGTTACCATCATCCCCTCCATCCATAATGAAAGAATCAGTCTACAAAAAACAAACAGAACATTTCAAGTGAGCAGTGCAATAAATGCTAAAGTGAAACAAGTTGATTTAGGTCTCTCTCACCCAGCAACAAATCAAAATTCCCTTCAACCCTGAATTGAAGAAATTCTCTTCTTTAAGTTATATATATCATTGATAAAAACACAGGATTACATTTGCCCTAGTGTATTAGGCTGTTTTATTACCATCGATGTTATCAGCAGTCAGCAAAAGAACCTGGAATAGTTCTCATTACAAAGTGGTCCACACTGAATCTCACGGTGCAGATATTTCCCTATCTAATCCAGACAAATTGGCCTCCTGGCACACCATCTTTTTTTCCAGTTCTGATCCTCTATATTTCTGTAACATTGTTCTTTACTGAAATTCCTGTTTCTGGGACATTACGCTACCTCAACTTACCTGTTCTTTTTGCAAATAGATTCAGATACAGAAACTCAGGCTTCCAGGGAGCCTCAGACATGGAATCTATCTGTAGCAGGGAAGTCCTATGCTTAGAGCCACACAGATCAATACCGGAAAACACAAGACTAGAGGAACAGGATCCCCTAACTTCCGGTTCCATGTACTTTGCAGTGCACAAAACCACCCTAACTCTTCTTCCCTGTAAACTCCCATCCCTGTCACTTAAGAGTCGGTTTCCAGTCCTCCTCTCTTTGTGGGCAATGACCTCAACAGCTTTATGTGTATCTCGAGGCAGAAGATTCCAAATCCCAAATCTATATACTTCTATCGGAACCTCTCTTCAGAAAGGAGAGGAGAACAGAAAAATCGATCAAGGAGTCTCTTCCTCCTTTAAACCCCTTTTGCTTTTCTTTGTTGGTTTCTTTCCTTTAAGGAACTGTGGACTCTACTGAGACAGGGTATGTGCTACTCGCACAAGCACATCTAATGAGGAGTGTGTCCTGCACACCCAGCACATCAACTCAAAGTTCACTCACCCTAAGAACAAAAATAATAAAATAAACTTCTACTGCTAGCACAGAAATAAAGTACACACTGAGCTCTTATTTTCTATGTATATTAATTCATATACACATGCATTGATCCAATGAAAAACATTACTTCTTTACAGATGAAGAAATTGAGGCCGACAGGTTGGGTCACTGGTCTAAGGTGATAAAAGAGCTGAGGATCAAATCCAAGTCTGCTATCAAAAATCCATACTCTTACCCACTTCACCATACCCGGCCCCAGAAACAAGGGATCGTGGTTGAAAAGAAGGGCATGTCAAGTTCGGTTTTCTTCTCACATCACATTCCAGTGCTGAGAATGTTCATGCAACATTTTATTCAACAAAGACAGAAATGGAAACTGAGAAAATATATCCAAACCTTCAGAACAGTCTCAGCCTAAATCCTACTGCTGCTGAGGTTTAGTTCAATGTTATAAAAGAGAATTTTGAAATTTACTCGAAAGAAAACTAAGTCAACTGACAGAAGGTGTTGAACTGACAGAAAGTGTTGCTCACACCTAAAACCCACAACCTGACGCTTCTGATTTAGCAGCACTCAGTGCTAAATCTCCAGTCTTACACTAGCTCTCCAGCCAGAGGCCTATTCCAGAAACATCATCATTCAGTCTCTGTGACCATGCCAAAAATTCCTCAAGTTCTACAAAAAGACTGCTTGTGAAACAAGAGCCAACATTTCTTGAATGGCCCAGGGAGAAAAAAACATCAACTATGGAGGACTCTAATGGATAGGAGTAGCTGGAATTTCTATTTCCCTCTTTCTTATCCTCTATTAGTTGGTAGCTCTCCCTTCTCACCCTTTATTAGCTGTCTGCTTTCTTCCCCTGGTATTTCCTGGTAAATAATTCAGAGTGGGATGGGTCCTTACAGCCCACCCACTTTGATTCTCCATCCAGCTCCTGAATCCATTACATACACAGATTTCCACCCAAGCCTCATTTACAAACTCCAACACAGACAGTGACATTCCTGCCTAGGCACCACCTCCCTCTCAGAGCAGATCTGAATGGTAGGATAGTTCTTCCTTAACTAAATTGAAACCTGTCTTTTCTTTTTTTAAAGATTTATTTTTATTTATTTATGCATATAAGAACTGGGGTATAGGCCAGAGGTGTTGGGAGGGCAGGGGGTAGGAGGGGAAGGGGGGTGTATGTGAGAGGGTTCATCAGAGATAGAGTGGGGAGCAGAACAAGTGGGTCTACTGAGATACACTGTGAGGGGAGCAGCAGGTGAGCAGAAGAGGTCTGCTGTACCATGTGGGTTAGCTCCCTGGCGGGGGATCAAAATCCTATCACAGTGGCTGGTGAGTTTGATGGCTGAGACTTTAACCCCTGACCCACCAGGGAGACCCCTGAAACCTGCCTTCTTGTAAATTCCACACACAGGTTTAATTCACGGAAACTACAGAAAAGGAGCCAAATCCCTTTTATAATATGACAATGCTTCAATTGTTTGAAGACAACTCCCATATTCCTCCCAGTTGTTGCTTTTCTGAGCCAAACAGCTGTAGTTCCTTTCATGTGAATAAAGAATAATGGTGTCACAAAGCAGTGAATTTACCAGGCTGCTTATGATTTAAACCAGGGCAATAAATATTGGGGTATGACAATGCCACTGGTGTTCCATTGAATGCATCTTTTCATTGTCACTATATATTTTTTTTTAAAGATTTATTTATTTATTTATACAAGCACTGGGTACAGTCAGAAGCGCGGGAGGGTGAGAGAATTCACCAGAGCCAGAGGGGAGCAGAACAAGCAGACTGACGAAGTACACTGCTGAGGGGAGCAGTGGGCAGCAGGAGAGGTCTGCGCGCCATGGGGAACCTCACCAGGCGGCCGGGGATGGAACCAGCGCTGCAGAGGCCGCGGCAGCTTCGCAGCCCAGCGCTCAACCGCTGCGCCACCAGGGGAGGCCCATGTCACTATACATTTTAAGAAATGACAATGATATATATTAGTAAGGGGGGAGGGGGAGAGAAACTGCCAATAGGCCAAAATAAAACCTAGGATCTTACATGTTTCCACCTAAATAAAAACTCAGTGACTTAGGGTTTATTCTTATAACTGAAAGCAAAGAAGCCAAAATCCTTTCATTTTCAAGACCTCTCAAGTTTTAGAAAAAGAACCTATTATCATTAAGCTTCAACAAACAAAATTAAACAAAGTCCCTGAAACTCAAGGGACAAACCTCCCAGGATGCATATAAATAGGGCCTGAATTTGAAATAGAAACTCTAGAGAAAAAAGAATCTTCCCAACATTTATTAACCATTTTTGGGAAAATATACAAATTCATGGGATTCCAAAAAGTTCTTACTCCCACATCTTTTTCTACTAAATGTCAGAATTCAACTTCTACCCATAGAGTTTAATCTGTGCAACTATTCATCTTTCACACACAGGGACAAAACCAGGAATCACAGCTGGTTGATGAAAATGAAATGAAAGCAGAAGCACATTTTAAAAAGGAAATTTAAAGACAATGGGTTCAGAATTTCATAGAGAAACTCTACTTGCCAGCTCGCCACAGTTTGGTTTCCTGAAAACAGACAGTCAAAATTAATGAACACTTATAAAAGTCTGCTCTCTTTAAAGTTAATTTTCTAATCTTGACTTTCCTTGGGTTGCAAAATAAATGAAGTCAAATGACCACACCTAGTTATAATGAACCTCTTGTGTTTAAGAGCTAAGACTAAAACATAGACTGCCTTCTCAGTCTCTTTCTTCAATTTGCTCTTCTTCTGTAGGTCCTCATTTCCTGGCAACAACTGTTGCTAGCTTCCTTGTCTTCATCAGCCCTCTGGCTAATGAATTGGGTCATCTTTCTATGTGAAGCAAAGGCAAAGAGAGAAAATGTTCATAAACACGAGAATTCTAGGTAATATTCAGAATATTCCTAGTTCAGAAATGTTCAGATCTTTTCAGGATTCAAAAACTTACTATCACTAAACACTGCAAGAAGAGAGCTAGGGCCTCCCTGGTGGCCTAGGGGTTAAGTCTTAGCACTATCACTGCTGAGTTCAGCCTGAGTTCGATCCCAGGCCAGGGAGCTGACCCACATGGCACAGCAGACCTCTCCTGTCTTGCCGGCTGCTCCCCATAGCAGTGTATTTCAGCAGATTTGTCTGTTCTGCTCCCCATTCTGTCTCTGGTGGATCCTCTCAGCCCCCCCCTTACCTCTGGACAACACCCCAGTTCTTCTACACAAACAACAAAACAAACAAAAACAGGTAGTCACAAACAAAAATTTACTGAAAAAAAGAAAAAGTGAGCTAAATTCAGATACCTTTGCCAAGAATCACCATGAATTCCATATGTAACAAGTGCCTTCTGTTGCAATCTCCTTACCAAGATTGAGAACAGGTAATGATCAAGAGGACAGACTCTGAAATCAGAAGACTTTGGCTGGAAACCTGTTTCTGCCACTTCTAACCTGTATGACCCTAGACAAGTCAGTTAACTCCTCTGAGCCCTGATTTCCTCATCCACAGACTGCTCTCACCAAGAGGGATTAAAATAATACCACACACCACAAAGTTTTAGTGGATAAACAACTATCGTAAAGCCCTTAGCATAGTGTCTGGTGCATGCATAAAAATGCTCTGAAAAGTTTGCCATTACTACAAAGCACTATGCTACGCTCTGGACAGGTTAGAAGAAATACTGTCTACACCCAAGAAGTGGGGGAGAAATAAGTCAGTGACATAAACAACCAAGACAAGACACAGGAAGTGGGAAGGGATCACATCAAACAGGGAAACTAGGAAAAACCTACTTGTACAGATAATTGGGTAATTCTCTTTTCCTTTTAGTATGGTTCTTCTCTATTTTCCTGTTTTACTTTAATAATTTGATTTAAATAAACTCAACATTCTGCTGAATGCAAAACCCCATGCCTAGCACCATGGCAAAATCTATAAGAGCACATAAAGGAAACGAACTCTTGCACTAGTTAATACCAGGTAATAGCACATGCAGTGAATTACCAATGCAAGTAGGACAGAAAGA